CTTGCAAAACCAATTCAGCTGGTAAGTCCGAAAGCTGCATTGCTTTGATGATTAGCGGATGCCATTCTGTTGCTACTTGCAAAGCTGTACGTTTAGGAAACAACTACCTACTGATTGTTTGTCGCGACATTACATGTCAAGTTGCAAAAAGGAAAAAGTGACATTCACCGGTCTATAAAAAGTATACGTAAGCTGCTAGCATTTCAATCTTCTTTGGAAGGCGAAGGAAGAAGGTTACGAGTCGAGGGTGGCAGTGTTGGTTCAATATGCTACATCAGTGGCCCAATCAGTGCGTCTAGAAGCTATAGCACCCTGAAATCTAGTTGTTCTGTAGAATTTGATACAAGGTTCTCAACATAGTTCACTAGTTCGCCCGTAGTTTTCTTTATTACCGCTCAACTACGCAAATTTCCACAACGTTTGTATATACTGCGCAAAAAATTGTGTCATGAACATTTCCGGTTAACACCGTGCGACGGAAAAACAATTTTTTTTTTACGCGGAATTAAGAAAATGTATTCAGAAAGAGAATGCTTGATGAGTAACCACCTTAAGCCCAGAGGAGTAGCCTCATGACCAAGACGATGAACAAAGTCTCACCGGACTATAACCTACTACACGATGTCAAAGATGGGAAACTTAGTGAAACAACATCCGATGCTTTTTTGATGGGAGGCGACAAAGACTTGCCACCTTTACTTCCTGACAGATCGCCATACTGCGTTGCTTTTGATGGACCAAACGATCCAAACCTTCCGCACAACTACTCAATTTTCAAGAAAATACTAATCACAACCGCAGTGGGACTCTCTACATTTACATTGGGTTTGGGTTCGGCAATGTTTGCATCGGCAATAGAGGACTTAAAGAGAATATACGATATCGGCACTTCTGTGGCTGCCCTAGGAACTTCATTGTTCATTATCGGGTTTGCTGCTGGTCCGGTTATATTTGGCCCGTCGTCGGAAGTTTTTGGCAGGAAACCTGTGATGGTTGTGTCGTCGTTTGCTTACGTTTGTTTCGAGTTTGGAACTGCTGCTGCTAAAGATTTGCAAACAATCATGATTTGTCGGTTTTTTGCTGGATTTTTGGGGAGTGCGCCTGTGGTTGTACTGGCAGCGATTATGGTTGATATCACCAAAGCCAAGGCAAGAGGAATCGGAATGGCGTGTTTTGGAAGCCTCTTGTTTGGATCGGTGATGATCGGTCCCATACTTGCTGGGTTCATTGTCAAGAACCAAAATCTAGGCTGGAGGTGGGTTTCGTACATCTCGGGTATTTCTGGAAGTGTAGCGTTGGTTTTCAACGTATTTACACTCGATGAAACACACCACCCTGTTTTGCTTGCGAGAAAAGCGGAACTTCTTCGAAGACAAACAAGCAATTGGGGAATCTACGCATTGCATGAAGAAGTATCCTTGGACATGAAAAATATCGTCGTCAATAGAATTTTCAAACCTATCATATTGCTTTTCACTGAGCCTATTGTCTTTCTCATCAGCCTATACAATTCATTCATCTATGGCATACTTTACTCCTTCTTGACTGTTATTCCACTAATATTTGAAGGTAGGTATGGCTGGTCGCGTGGCGTTGGAGAACTACCGTACTTGTCAATGTTGCTCGGAGTGCTTTCGGGAACACTAATCAATATTCTCTACGAGATCCAAAACAACAACAAGTTAGAGCAAACGGGTACAAAACCGGCTCCTGAGATGAGATTGCCACCGGTAAAGATTGGTGCAGTTACATTTGTCATTGGTATCTTCTGGCTAGGGTGGACAGGCGATTATCCTCAACACGTACATTGGATTGTTCCAGTCATTGGTGCATTCTTTATTGGCAATGGTTTGATGTTGATCTTCTTGCCTACAATGACATACTTGATAGATTGCTATCTTCCTGTGGCTGCAACTGCATTGGCGGGTCTAACATTCATCAGATCCGGATTTGGTGCTGCCTTCCCTCTTTTTACACAGCAAATGTTCTCGAACTTGACTATAAAATGGGCATCCACCTTGTTGGGGTGTTTGGGAGTATTGATAATTCCAGTGCCATTCTTCTTTGGCAAGTATGGAGCTTATGTAAGGAGCAAGTCAAAGCATGCATTGCATTAGAATTTTTTTTATAGAGGAATTCCGTAATAAGTTACTCAGTCCTGTTATTTATTGTTGCAAAAATTGCGCTTTTTGTGTCACCTGTGGCGAGCAATTATAAGTTTGATTGCTGCACCACAGTTCTTTTTTATTTATTTATTTTTTTTTTTTTTTTTGCATTATAAAAAGGTACCTCCTTGCCCTCACATTCTGCATCTCTCATCCTCTTCACCAATTAAACATGCCAGCTACATTAAAACCAAGTACAAAAGTGTTCAAGTTAAACAACGGAGTGGAAATTCCTGCTGTTGGGTTGGGAACATGGAGATCTGTTGATAAAGATTCCGGTTATAAAGCTGTCGAGTTTGCGTTAAAACATGGCTACAGACACATTGATGACGCCAAGCTCTACGAAAACGAAGAGCAAGTGGGAAAAGCCATTAGACAATCTGGAGTCCCAAGAAAGGAAATTTTCGTCACTACCAAATTGTGGAACACCGACCATAAAAATGTTGAGGCGGCATTGGATGAATCATTGAAAAAATTGGGTCTTGATTATGTGGACTTGTACTTGATTCATTGGCCCCAAAATACTGATCAAGAGGTGGATGATCCATCGAAGTATGAAGATTATGTTGAAACTTGGAAGCAATTGCAAAAGATCTACAAAGAAGGCAAAAAGGTTAGAGCCATTGGGGTTGCCAATTTCACAGTCAACAAATTGGAAAAGTTGTTAAATGCAGATGGAGTTGACGTTGTACCAGCAATCAACCAAGTGGAGACACATCCACTTCTCAATCACGAAAAATTGATTGACTATTTGAAGACCAAGAACATCGTCTTGACAGCTTATTCACCTTTTGGCTCAGACAAGAGCCCAATTTTGGACAACAAAACTGTCAAAGAAATTGCTGAAAAGAATGGCGTCGATCCAGGACAACTTATTGTCTCGTGGTTAGTTCAAAGAGGTGTAGTTGTCATTCCAAAGTCAGTCACTGAAACGAGGATCTTGTCAAACTTTGAGACATTCACCTTGCCACAAGAGGACTTTGAAGCATTAAACAAGTTGGAGTCAAAGGAAGGCACAAAGAGGTTCAATGACACTCCTTTCAACAATTTTGATGAGTAAATAGCAATACAAGCTTAAACTTGACTAAAAAGTAGAATATCTCTCCATTCGGTAGCTAGAGCACCAGATCCCGTAAGGCAACTTTCCAACGCCTAGTAATGTCGCTACCAACTGCCACCAAACATAAGTGTTGGTTACCTAGTTCGGAAGGTGGAATAGAAGCGTGTTACGCGTCGGTCGGAATGGGACCTGTGCTGCAAGAGAGTACTCTATAAGTACTTGAATCAGCACAATTTTATATAGTTTGTTACTTAGTTTGAAATGCAAGTTATTCTTCACATAAAATTTGTTAATAAAGTTCTTGACTTAAAAAATGTATGTTTTTATTACACCAGCTCATGATATTTGCAAAAAACTAATAACTGTACCAACGACACAACATGACCATCCCCCCTATAACTTTTCAGTCAACTCTGGCACAACTGTTTCAAGGTCCCCGACAAGTCCGATATCGGCAACATTGAAAATTGGTGCTTCAGCATCCTTGTTAATCGCAACAATCACTTTTGCATCTTTCATCCCCGCCAAATGCTGAATGGCACCGGAGATTCCAATTGCAAAGTACAAATCGGGTGCAACAATCTTACCAGTTTGACCAACTTGTAAGGAATTGTCACAGAAACCCGAATCCACAGCCGCCCTCGAAGCACCAATTGCTGCATTCAATTTCTTGGCCAACGGATCAATCAATGCGTCAAACGTCTCCTTACTCTTCAAACCACGACCTCCAGCAACGACTCGCGTGGCAGACCCCAATTCTGGTCTTTCAGATGTTACCAATTCTTCAGATACAAATTCGGCACTGGTTCCTGATTCCAGCTGTGCGGTAACTTCTTCTATTGTTGTTGCATCTTGCTCCTTTGCTGGTGGGAACGCTGATGCTCTAACTGACGCAAGTATCACATCATCCTTGGACTTGACAGTAGCCAAAGCATTACCTGCATAGATGGGACGTACAAATGTCTTGCTATCAACAACTTTGGTAATGTCGCTCAATGGTTGCACGTCTAACAAAGCTCCCAATCTAGGTAAAATTGACTTTCCAGTGGATGAGCCGGAAATGAAAAAGTGGGTATACTTTCCAGGAATCAACTGCTTCAACAAGGGACTCACCTTTTCCGACAAGTAGTGTTCGTATGTGTCACCCGTTTTAAGGACTTTGGTGACACCTTCTATTTTGGCTGCCCCATCAGCTATGCTGGGGTCGACAACCAAAGCCGTTATCGGCTCACCAAGCTGAGCCGCAGCAGACACTGTGGAAAACGATGCAGGGTTGATCTGACCTTTGGAACCTTCGATCAAGACCAAGCTATCCCTCAATGGTCTAGTGATTGTGAAGAATCTCTTGAATATCATTTGCCAGTGATGGAGTTGAATGGAAAATGCAATTTTTTTTATTTCAATTATTTTTTTCTTTTCCAACCTCAAAATTTGTTTCAGTCTACAAGAACAGTCTGGGTAGACAGAAACTTCGCTTGAGGGATGCTCTCGAACAGCGAGAGAGATGTAAAAGCCTTAGAGCTACAAACTGACACTTTATAATCTCTCACTCTTTGAACGACGTGTATTGGAGAAAGAACAATGTAGAGATACAATGTTAACACGAGTTGATATGATTGGATAGATGGTACAATACACGTACTGACGAGTTGGGACAGAAAAAGACTCAAAGGACTGCTACATTCGCCCACGGCGACAGGTCTCCTCTTTATGCTTGCACTTCTTCTCCTCATTCACCCTTTTTTTTTTTTCGATTTCGCACTTTCAAAAAGTTAATCTACTTTCCGCCGTATCAACAATGAGTTCAAGACGAATAGCTAGCCCATCACCCAGCTTACGGCCCATTTCAAACAAGCGGGTCATCAACTCGGAAAGGCTGCAACTAATCCAATCAGAGGCAAACAAGTACACGGACGACTCCTCGAGCTCAGAGACAAATTCCATAAACTATAAACAGTATGCCCCCGCATCCACACTAAATTTAGAGCAGCTAGAATGGAGTGACATCCTTCCATATTATTTACCATTCTTGTCCTGGATTGGAAAGTACAACCTCAGGTACTTTATTGGTGACTTTATTGGCGGACTAACGTTGGTATTTTTCCAACTTCCGTTATCGTTGTCATACGCTACAACGTTGGCGCACGTGCCTGTGATCTCAGGATTATACTCATTGGCCATTGCTCCTCTTATCTACTTGATATTTGGAAGTGTTCCACAAATGGTTGTTGGACCTGAGGCCCCCATCTCGTTGGTTGTCGGACAAGCAATCGAGCCCCTTCTTCATCACATGAAAAAGAAGCACTTAGATCCTTTGGACTACGTCTCAGTGATTACATTCCTCAGTGGAGCCAGCTTATTGGGATTTGGTATTGGACGATTGGGATTTCTAGACAATGTTTTGAGCGGATCGCTCTTGAAAGGCTTCATTGCTGGTGTGGGTGTTGTAATGAATATAAATTCGCTAATCATCATTTTGGGATTGGAAAAGTTGATGAAGAAGATTGCTGATGATGCTACTCAAATGGACATCCATTCCCCATTTGACAAGGTGGTCTTTTTGACAAAAAATTGGAGCCATTTCAACCCATTAAGCGCAAAAATTGGCGCGGTTGGGTTTTTGATAATTATCGTTTGCAGAATTCTTAAGAAAAGAACCAAAAATTCACTTGTGGCTCTTTTCCCAGAAATCATGATAGTGGTCAGCGGTGCAACTATCCTTTGTCAATATTTCAGGTGGGATCTCAATGGAGTTGACGTTATTGGAAAAGTCAAAGATAATAGATCACTTACGCTATACAATCCACTTAGACTGTGGAAACTTATAAAGCAATTGGGAACATCTGGATTTCTCTGCGCAATGTTGGGGTTCTTTGAGTCTACTACCGCGTCGAAGTCATTGGGCACAAGGTTTGATTTACCAATATCCACAAACAGAGAATTGGTGGCGTTGGGCAGCTTGAATTTCATTGGATCCATTTTTGGTGCTTTACCGGCATTTGGTGGCTATGGCAGGAGCAAGATTAATGCAATATCAGCAAAAACAACCATGTCCGGAGCCATAATGGGGCTATTCACCCTTTTAACAATCCAGTATCTTCTCAGATACTTGTACTTTGTACCTAAGTGTATGTTGAGTGTTGTCACAAGTGTGATTGGTATCCTGTTGATTGAGGAGGCTCCAAGTGAGTTGGTATTTTATTGGAGAACAGGAGGCAATGACGAGCTCATCACGTTTGCAATAACTGTATTCACCACCCTTTTCTTTTCCATCGAAGGTGGCGTTGCAGTTGGACTTGTCTACTCCTTAATCAGGGTCATCAAAAACTCCACTGCATCTCGCATTCAAATCTTGGGCAGAGTTCCAAATTCAAACACTTTTATCGATGCTGACGTCCCAGTGGAGCAAGTTGATGAGAGTGTATCACGTTTAAATGTTTTTAATGACATGAGACAAACACTGTTGAATATTGGGGCAATTGAGGAAGTAGAAGGGTGCTTGATTATCAAAATTCCAGAGCCATTGAACTTTACAAATAGTAGCGATATGGTGGCAAGATTGAAAAGGGTGGAAATGTATGGCTCCACACGTGCTCATCCAGCACTGAAGAGGAGTCGCGATCAGGAAATGACGCGGTATGTGATATTTGATCTTGACAGCATGAATGAAATTGACTCCTCGGCTGCAAAAACTCTAAAGAATTTGATTACAAACTACCACAAGCGAGGAATTAGGTCATTATTTGCAAAAGTGTCAAACAAGGTAAAACCTACGTTACAACAAGCGGGTATTCGTGATATCCTTCTCCAAGACATTGAAGAATTGCGGTACAATGAGATCCAAGATTTAGCAAATCACAGCGATAATGAAACCATTACAAAATGTCGTGGACTACTCGGGACTGATCCCTATTTTCAGCACATTCTGGAGGCGTTACGATTGATTGACTGTTTTGAGATGATATATGGCGAAGTGTAGTTTTGGGTAGCATTTATTTGTTGATTTAATTATCGCGCGTCTTCTCTCTCTCTCTTTTTTTTTTTTTTTGGCGAAATGTAAACAAACCAAGTTTCTCTTTCATCCACAAACTATGGCCAGCGTTGACTTCACCCCTATTGGCAAAAGGAGGCCAAATACCAAGTTCCAGGTTATTCGAAACAATAATGTGAATGAAAAGTTACCCGCGAGCAGAAGTTTGCTTCACGCGTTAAAAGACTCGACAAATATCAATCATGATGTAGGTGACCTGAGTTTTGATTACACAGCACAAGAATGGGAGGATGATTTAAAGAGACAAACGCCAGTGAGACCGTACAAGAGAGACCAGAGGCAAGAGAGGACACCTAGACAAGAGACTGTATTTGAAAATATTGGACTAGGAGTGAACCAGCTGGAGGAAACAATCCGCCAACTAGAAGCTGAAGCGCTTGCTTGGAAAACCAAGTACAGAGAACTTTTCATGGCGATGGAGCAAATGGGAGGTGACAGTACTATGATTGACACCAATATGGAGCTTAGAAATGAATTGAAGCAGATGGAAGATAAATTGAGACAAGCAGAGAGAAACAACCTGAATGAGGAATATCGTCACGAGATCGAGCACAAGGATAGAATGATACGCAAATTAATCGAAGATATGGAAAGGTTGGAGAAGAAATTGGAATCACAAGACGATGCGGATAATGAGTTGAGACTTGAATGTCGTGAATTACGTGAAAAACTTGGCCAGTATGAAGAAAAATTGAAAGAGTACGAGGATATATCTAAGCTTGAGAGTTCAGAGAAACATAACCAATTGCAAAAGAACAAGGAACAAATCACCAAGTTAAAGGACATAATCAGAGAAAATGAACAAATCCACTTGTCAGAGTTAGCTGACTTGAAATCTTTGCTCGAAAGTACCGCGTCAAAGTTGGAAGCGGCCGAAAGAGAGGTGAAGAAATTGAGAGAATCGGCTGCTGACACTTCTCGGGTGAGCAAACATTTCAATAGTGACATAGAGGAACTAAGTCACACTAATCGGGAGCTCAGAAAGCAGCTTGATAATCAGATAAGGAAGCTGAAACAGTTGCAAGATGACGTGGAATCGCTTGTTGGAACTAAACAGGATTTGTTGCATCGGGTTGAACACGAAAAAAAGAGGTCAATGGAGCTTGTTGACGATATGCGTCATGACAATAAAATATTGGTTGACAAGCTAGACCAAGAAAAAGAGAGAGTGAACGACCTTGTCGATGAACTTCGTACTGCTCAAAAAGCTCTTGAACATGGAAAGGAAACGCGGAAAGAGTTGGAGGCATTACTAAAGGAAGCAGTTTCCGAAAAGTCTGGAAGCACAAGGTCAAATGACGGAAAAATGAATGAGTTGAAATCGGAAAATGCCCAATTGAAGGCAAAGATCAAGGAGCTAGTATCTCATTGCAAAGACTTGGAAGAGGAGACTGAATCACTTCGAACTGCATTGAAGAATAAAGAAAAGACAGAACTTGCGCTAAAGTCGCACGCTCAAACACTTGAGGACGACTACGTTCATCTAGTCAGGGATCACGACAAGGTAGTTTTCGAAAATGAGGCGCTACAAAGAGAAGTTGAAAAGATGAAACGCGATCTTGAACAGTGCTTTCATGAGATGAGTAATTTCGAAAACCTGAGCAAATCTGAGGCTGAAAAACGTGTTTCCCAATTGCTCTCAAACGAACAAGAACTTAAGAAGGAGATTGCATCTTTGTCAGCGTTGGCGATCCAGATGGAAGATGAATTGAAACTATCAAGAGAGGAAGAACAAGACAACAGGGAACTCCTTGATGACAACAGAGAGCTAGTGAGAAAACTCAGAGAGATGCAGAGAATTCTCGAGGATTTAGGAATCTCCAGTAAAGAAGACCTTGAAATCTTTGAATCCAATGTGAGAGATAAAATTGTGAACATGAAGAAGGACTTGAAGCACAGCGATTCGCTTGTGAAAGCGTTGGAGAATGAGCTTCGGTTGTCACACGACGAAATCGGATTCTTACAAGATAAAATCAGCGAGAAAGAGGACCAACTCAAGTCAGCAGAGCACTTGTTGAAGAGGGATAGGAAAGAACAAGACTCCGGTTTACAAGAGTACCTAGAATTTCAACTCGAAAAGACACGGGAAGATTTGAATCAAGTAACGGGACAACTCAAAAGTATCAAATTGGATCATGACTCAGAAATTGGAAGAATGCAAACGTCTCATGATGAAAAAGTAAAAGAGCTAAAGGAACAGATACGTGAATGCAAGTCACAATTGGGCGAGTACAAGTCACAATTGAGCGACACCAACAAGAATTACAGACTCCTCACGGACAAGTTATTGGCGTACAAAACTACACTCAGATCAGCCGAGGATATAGAGCGGGTTAACTTTTATCGTGACTCATGGGAATATTTCAAACAAAGATACAGGGATGCTTCCCTCAAAGGCAAGGATTACAAATTCATGTACGACTTTGCTATTGACCAGATCAAAAATAGCCGGTTCAAACTCAATGATGGCTCGAAGTTGGCAGCAGTTGGGTTATATCCAGAGTACGTTGGCGGGTCCACGAAACCAAAAGTCACTCTCAAAGGCGTGGCGACACTTGTTCTAGCAACTGTCAGAATGAAAAGGCGGTCCAAATATGAGAAAAACAGATTTGAGCAGTTGAACAAGACTAGAAAGGAGTTGGAGTATGGAAGGAAGAAGTTTAAGGAGATTGAAAAGACGTATGTAGCTGCTGGTGTAAAAGTATTGTGATTTGTATGCACGCACCCTTGTGATATTTTTTTCCAAAATTTTTCCGTTGTGACTTTTTTTTTCTCTCTCTCTCAATCATTCTTTGACCCCACCATTTAGCACTCCAAACTTTGCAAGCAACCATGAGTGAGGAACCATTATCAGAGACATCTTCTTCATCCTCATTTGTTCCTGTAGAGCAGGTCCATATACAAGATGCGATTCAGGTAATTGATGAAAACAAAAGATTCAACAATGCGATCTTAGATTATGTCGGTAAAACGTCACTGGCAAATGTGGGCCACAACTATCACATTGTAGCGGTATTTGGATCCCAATCAACCGGTAAGTCGACCTTGTTGAACAATCTTTTCAACACTAACTTTGATGTGATGAACGAATACAGCAGACAGCAAACAACAAAGGGAATTTGGTTGGCGTATTCCCCAGGGGTTTCAACAACATCAGGCCACGTTTCTACAAACTCAAATATACTCGTGATGGACGTGGAAGGAACTGATGGTAGAGAAAGAGGTGAAGATCAAGACTTTGAGAGAAAAGCGGCTTTGTTTGCATTATCGACTTCGGAAGTGTTGATTCTTAACATTTGGGAAACACAGGTCGGGTTATACCAAGGTGCTAATTTGGGATTGTTAAAGACCGTGTTTGAGGTAAACATTACCTTATTTGGTAAAAGCAAGTTGGACTCTACCAATGACCACAAGGTTTTGTTGTTAATTGTGATCCGTGACCACGTTGGAACAACACCTGTTGAGAGTTTGGCCGAGACAATCACCCAGGATCTAAGAAAGATTTGGGACTCGTTGCTGAAGCCTGGCGAGTTGAGTCATTTGAGATTTGAGGATTTCTTTGATTTGGACTTCCACGCATTGAATCATAAGATTTTACAACCAAAAGAATTCTCGGACGGTGTTGGTAGACTTGGTGACAGGATGGTGAAAAAGAACGACCTCTTTAAACCTGAATACCACCACAACATTCCAGTGGAGGGCTGGACCTTGTATGCTGAAAAGTGCTGGGAACAAATTGAAAACAACAAGGATTTGGATCTACCAACTCAACAAATTTTGGTTGCTCAGTTCAAATGTGACGAAATTGTGGAGCAGACATTTCAAGATTTTTTGAAAAAATTCAATGAGCTATTCAAAGATGTGGCAAAGGAACCGTCTTTTGAGGATATTGGTGCGTTGTTTGTTGACTTGAAACATGATGTGCTTGAGGAGTACGACCATGCAGCTGCCAAATACAACAAGTCAGTGTACGAGCAAAAACGGGTCAAGTTGGAGTCCTTGATTCACTCCAAGTTCAAGGAAGTGTTTGACTTGTACTCCAAGCAGTTGGTAGAAACCGCAATAGCCTCGTTCAAACTGGACTTGGCAGCTTTGAAAGGGAAAGATTTCAATCAACAAAGTCAGATATTATCGGCTAATGTTGTCAACTTGACAAAAACAAGTTTGGGATTGATATCCTTGAATGGGGTATTTTCATACGACGAAACTTTGCAACAAATTGAGAAAGATCTTGCTGATGCAATCACTAAGCAACAAAAGATTGAATTGGACAGTATTGTAAATAAATCGGCAAAGAGATTATCCACCAACTTGTCCAAAACTATACAGTTTGAATTGAATGATCCAAGCGAGTCAACTTGGGACAAGATTTTAGAGCAATTCAATTTATACGTTAATGAATTCACTAGCAAGTACGATGGGGATTTTGGGCTAAACACTTTGCAGGCAGACAATGAGGAGGCTGTGAAGAAGTTTAAGTTCAAGTCGTGGAACTACTTTTATGACCTTATCCACAAGTTTATCTACAAGGAGAGGGTGCTTGACATTCTACAAAGCAGATTTGACGACAAGTTTAGATACGATTCCAATGGGTTGCCCAAGTTGTACCAGGATGCAAGAGAATTGGAGACTAGTTTTGCCATTGCCAAGGAACATGCTTTAGCAGTTTTGCCTATTCTCACAATTGCAAAACTCGGCGATGACTCAGAGATTGTGCCAGATTTTGACATTTTCAGTCCCAAATTGAGACTTCATTACTTGAATGTGAAATCGGAGCAAAGCGACGATGAAGATGATGACGAGGATGAGTCACATTCGTTTGCAGACATTATTTCTGAAGCTGAAAAGTCACATATATTGTCCAAATTCAAGAAAGAGATTGATGCCAAGTTTGTGGAAACAAAGCGTTCGATTGTTCAACATGTCACGCAGATCCCTTACTACGTATATCTTATTATCATTGCGTTGGGTTGGAATGAGTTCATGGCAGTTGTGCGTAATCCGTTTACGTTTGCTCTTGCTATCTTGTTTGCCGCTTCAATTTACATCTTATACACGTTGAATCTTTTGAAGCCAGCAATTGCCGTTGGACAGAGGCTAATTGATGATGCAGTGATTATAGCGAAGGAAAAGTTACGCGAGGTCTTGATTGATGATCACGAGATCCAAGCTCGCAATCTTGACAAGATGACAGGAAAAGTAAAGCAGGCACACTTGGACAAAGAGTTTGAGGGTGAAACAATTGTAAATGCAAGCGAAGAAAAGCAACGGGAAGCGCTTGAGTAACTAGTATTGAAGTAACTATAATGAAATGGTGGTATCATAGGAGTTGTAGGAAGGGCATTTTCCTCAAATATGATTACGTCGCTGTCGTAAGAACTTCAAGCGACCGAACCCCCGCACCCACACACACCTCTATTCTCTAGGTGTAATGCGTGCTTTGCAATTTGACGTTGAAATTGGGTAGCGTTGTATATACACCGCAATGCAACACCATTACAACGTCACGCCGTTGCACTTTTTTTTTTTTTTTTTTTTTTTTTTTTTTTTTTTTTCTTTCCTAAAATGTAACGTGCACAGAGTATTGAGCAAAAGATGGCAACTCCAAGTACACAAGACTGCGGTTGCAACAGAAGGGATGTACGTTCAATCGTGTAACAGACAACACAATTTATCAATCTAAATGATTGCCACGCAAATGGGCTTCAAGTATATACCCAAATAAAACGCGTTCACCCCACTCTGTTTTTACTCTTTGATTTTTGCAACCTGTGTACAGATAATTTGAGATTACACAAAGATATCCCCAACAGACATTAAAATTTTTATAAAAAGAATGTTACCAAAAGACCCGCCAGATACAATTTTACATACACAAATCAATTTCATTTCTATACAAAAGGTTTACGGATCACATAAATAAATCATAAAATTCAATCTTTTTCAAACATCGGATGAGAAGAATGAATTACACTCGTGTATAATATCGGATAGCATTACCCCCCCTCGCACATACACTCCTGCCCCCCCCCTTTTTCATCCTATGATTCCTAGCATCAATACACTCGTCAACAGTCTCCCCCAATATGGGACTGCACCAAAAATCGCTAAAAACGATCAAGCGACATGTTCGATTAACAACATACACACAAGGGAGTTGGATGTGGACGCCAAGTCTATTCATTCACTGTCGGAACAGTCGTCTTCATTATCATCACCACGCTCGTCTCCGATATCGAGCACAGATTCGATTAATACCCACAATTTAAAAACATCTCACTCTCTTGACTTGATCATAAAATCACTTAAAGATCCACTCACAGATGACAACATCCGCAGACACTCAGAGCTTCTTTTATCTGACTTTGATGCCTCATTATCAGCGAATGCAATTACTATGTTGGCAAACTATAACATCTCACCCACAGGTGACGAGCACGGACTGTACTTGGCGGTAGATTTGGGTGGATCCACACTTCGAGTTGCGGTTGTTGATCTTGCACCACAAAGTGAAAGCATTTCCAGGTCTGATCGAATAAAGGTTGTTCTTGAAGAAAAATGGCTCATATCGAACGAGTACAAGGTAATTAATCGCAGCTTCTTCAAGTTTATTGGGTCCAAAATTACGGAAATCATTGACAAGCAAGAGACATTGAACCCGTCTCAAACTATCAAGGTTGGTATCACCTGGTCTTTCCCGTTGGACACAACAAGTCACAACAATGGTAAAATAAGACACGTATCAAAAGGATACACAATCGGAGATGACGTGTATGACAAAGATTTGAAACACTTGTTTGAATCCATTTTACAAGAAGAGTTTGATTTGCTGTTTGACATCAAGTCCATTTTGAACGATTCCTTGGCAGTTTATGCAGCAGGCGCGTTTTTGGATGACAAAATGAGATTAGCCATGGTTTTGGGGACAGGTTTCAACATGTGCTGCTCTTTAGATGCAAGTAAGGACTACATGCATGCAAGCAAGTTGATTGACAGAAAGATGCTCTTCAATACTGAATTGTCATTATTTGGACAACATTTGTGTGATGACTTTAGTACAAAGTATGACGCAGTGATTGATAACCGCTTTGATAACTTCAAGCACCATTTCAAAACATACTTGCAACCAGACCCGAATTCCAACCTCATTTTCCAACCACACGAGTTGATGACTAGTGGACGGTACTTGCCTGAATTGACTCGGTTGGTCCTAGCTGATTTGATTGGAAAGAAGGAGATTTTCACAAATTTTGATAGTGAGGAGTTGAATACAATCGAGACAGTCAAGTATGATGGGTTTGAAGGTGAGCTTATGTGTTTTATCAGCGAATGTGATGACTTTGAGGCTGTGGGTGAGAAGATGCGTGACGTGTACCACTGGGACAAAATCGTTTTGGATTCTGACATTGCCATCATCAAACACGTCATTAAAGCAATTGTGCAGAGGGCAGCCTTTATAGTAGCAAATGCAATCATTGCATTTTTCAAGCTTCTTAAAAAATACAACAGGTCAGAGGATTTGAAAGGACTATTGACAATTGGATACGTTGGATCGGTGTTGAACCATTTCCATAGTTACAGAAACTCGGTGATTGATTACGTCAACATGAGTGAAGACGCCAGAACTTGTGGTTACAAAATTGACTTGAAGTTGATTGAAAATAGTTCCATAATCGGTGCAGCAATCGGCGCAGCCTATTATTCTAAATAAATAGGTTTCGGAGGGTTAATAGAAAAGATTTCGAATACGGATGTGCTACTCTAGATGTGCAACGGTAAAATAGATTCCTTGTTTTTTTTTTTTTTTTTCTTTTTCCCGATTTTGCACCAATTTTAGAGCAAAAATTGACCAATTTATAATACAATTGTACACAATTAACAATATTCCAAGGTGATCTTTTATTCAACGTACATATCGTATTTACAACTTCGACTTTAATCCAGCAGCAGCATTATCACACACAATCAAAACCTTATCATGATCTTGCAAATAGCTAGAGGGGTACTTGGGATCATTTTTCTTCCCATTGATTGTCTTATCCAAAGCAAAACTCTTGCTCTCACCCAACACAATCAATACAACCTCATCAGAATTATCCAAAATTGTAGAAATACCAACGCTAAGAGCATGTTTTGGAACTTTTGATTCATCATTGTCGAAAAACCGGCAATTGGCTTTGATGGTTGATTCAACAAGGTCAACCTTTCTAGTTTTAGAATCTCTCGTCGAGCCTGCCTCATTGAACGCTAAATGACCCTCTGGTCCTAAACCTCCAAGGAAAAGATTGATCCTACCATACTTTTTAATCTTGGCTTCATAGTTTGCACATTCCTTATCCACATCTGTAGCCAATCCATTCAAAATGTTGATGTTTTCTCTAGGTATGTCAATGTGGTTGAAAAATTTATCGTACATAAAGTAATGATATGATTGTGGGTCCTTAGGAGTCAAACCTAAGTATTCATCCATATTGAATGTGACGACATTCTTGAAACTGATTCTTTCTTGTTTGCAAGCAGCAATTAGCCTAGCATAAATTCCTTCTGGCGAGGACCCGGTTGGTAATCCTAGCACAAATGGCTTCGATGGAGTGGGCTTGAAGCCCTTGATTCTTTGGATAATGTAGTCAGCCAAATATTGCGAAGCATCGTCCGATGATGAGAATGTAGCTTGTCTCATGGTTGGTTAGCAGCAGTTATGCGTTCATGGTCTTGCGGGCATGCAAGTGCAAGTTGATACAGTAATATATACCTTTCAGTGTTTAGTATGTGTAGCAGAGAGAGAGAGAGAGAGAGAGAGAGATGGATTGTCATCATGTTGTAATGAAATGATATGCAAGAGATGTGACACAAAAGAGAGCGCAACTGGGGAGACAAGCTCTCACACTTACACTGACCAACACACGCACGCAAATAGTTCACACAAGCCAAAACCAGGGCAACATCAGACGTTGCATTCGGTTCAGCTTCAGGGTAAAGGCTCTCTGCCACATCAACTCGGCGGAGTCGACAGTGGGGTGTGGAAATTTGGTCAGTATATGTCACGCTGCGAATGTAACATCAATTTATGTTGCAGACGCTAGATCGATGTTACATTTTGTTCTTTCATGACATCCTTGACATATTATACACACACAGTTCCGTTTCAATTCCTACAATGCTACTGCTTCATTGAGTGTCAAGTAGGTCACATACCCAGAAGTGGATATAAACTACAATCTGTGGTATTTCTCAACCATCAGTAGAGGGGGGAATGGATGTAGCTTGAGTATGAGATAAGTGACATCATACTACTATCATCCGTTTCTTTTTCTTTTTTCTTTTTTTTTTCGCTTCTTTTTGTGTTGTGTTAGCCAATGTAACATTGTTGCTCCAATCGATGTTACATTCTTTTCTCACATAACCCATACTCATAATTTTACTCATCTACCCACATGGGTTGGTCATTTCTTAGAACCTTACACACGAACTTATATATATATATATATATGTATATCTACATACACAAATCTTCCAAGGCATGAAGAGCTTATAGATCTGTAGTAGAAGATCTAAACTCTGCTTTTACACTCCCCTCCACCCCATCTTCCCCCCCCTACAAACAGATCGCCATGTCGTATACCAGATTCACCAACTGTCATCTCATCGATAACGGTGAGCTATACGAGTTCACAGACTTGTACATTGACAATAGCACAAGGAAAATAACAAAACAGCCAACCGACCTTAACCAAATCACCAAAACTGTTGATTTGCACGAACAAATCATTGCACCTGGCTTTATTGACATACAAAACAATGGTATATATGGGTTAAATTTCTCCAGCTTGAATGAAAACTCAACTACTGAGGATATCAAGGACTTTCAAATATTTTACAAGGATGCAATGACAAAATACTTGTCCACCGGTGTTACTTCCCTTTGTCCCACAGTGACATCCAACTTCCCAAGCGTTTACACTAAAGTTCTTCCATTGTACAAAAAGTCTAGAATGTCAAACCAGACGGATTCGTTAGGAGCACACCTTGAAGGTCCATTTATAAACTTGCAAAAGAAAGGGTGCCATCCGCCAGAGACCTTTGTTGATGCCAAAGGCGGTGAAAACAAGCTTTTGGAAGTGTACGGTGGCAAAGGCAACCTTTTGGAAAACGTCTGCATTATTACTGCTGCTCCAGAGATACCTGGTGTTTTGGACTTGATCCCATACGTCAAACAACAAAATTGTGTCTTTTCAATTGGCCACACTATGGCAGACCATCAAACTGGCGTCGATGCTATTGAAAATGGATGCACCATGATCACACACTTGTACAACGCCATGCCACAACCTCATCATCGTGATGCCGGTGTGGTAGGTTTGATAAACACACCTAAAGTTTCGCCTGAAAGAGTTCCTTATTTCGGTCTCATATGTGATGGCGTGCACATTGATCCGTCTATGGTCAACTTGGCATACAAGTCGAACCCAGTTAAATGTGTTTTGGTAACTGATGCCATGCACTTGATAGGTTTACCAGATGGCGAGTACAAGTGGGACGAGCAAGTCATAGTCAAAACTGGCGATAGATTATATTTAAAGGGCACAGACACCTTGGCTGGTGCTGCTGCAACTTTACCACATTGCATTAGAAACTTGATGAAATGGGCCAACATTGGACTCGCCGAAGCAGTGAAAACAGCAACCAACAATGCTGCCTTATCGATTGGAGTTGAACATGAAAGGGGTTTCCTAAACGTAGGGTGTGATGCCGATTTGGTAGTTTTGAATAAAGAGGGATTCGTCACCAAGGTTTACAAGTTGGGTAATGAAGTCATTTCATCTGATATCCCACAATCAAGTGTCCAAAGAGAAAGCAAAATTAGGGCTGTGTTATAGATATATACAAATAAAGACCATAGTTTATAAAATATCAAATATATATGAATGCAGATTCTATTTATTTTCCATTCCTGGGGAATAAGCATATTTAGAGTATGCTCTAATTCTTGCTCCATAAAAGAAGAACAAGTAAGGAATGAGACAGCAAGCCAATGAGATAAAAGCCATTAATGAACTGGCCCATTCATAACCTAACCGATGGTACATTTGGATGGTGAACAATGGGACACAAGCACCCCAAACAGACCTAACAAAAGTCTTTGCCGCTAAAGCACTTGCAGCATAATGCTGGTACGAGTCCACGATGTAGTTATTTGCAGGGTTGTACAAACAACAAAATCCGAAACCAACGGCCAAACCAGAAAAGCATGGACCTGCCCAAGACAACCAACTGTAGGAAGACCAAGCAAATGCAAATAGACCAGCTGGAACGAACCAACAAGAGATCATCATTGGAATCAATCTCAACTCAGCTGGTGGCAACTCTCCTCTGTCTCTGTACAGTTGAGCCCTTTTGTTGTAATCCTTGTTAAAAAATGGAGCAGCGAGGGTGGCAAGAATAACCCCACCGCCGATTGGGATAAACATGACACCGGTTTTGGAAGCAGACCAGCCTTTACCATCCATGTATACCACTGGGTAAGCAAAGAAGAACATGTACAACAAACCGTAAATGACAGACATGTAAATCGTAACCAAAAACACAATCAATTCGCTCAACAACACAAATGGTCTCAATAGGGATGTCTTTGCAACTTCNAGAGAGAGAGAGAGAGAGATGGATTGTCATCATGTTGTAATGAAATGATATGCAAGAGATGTGACACAAAAGAGAGCGCAACTGGGGAGACAAGCTCTCACACTTACACTGACCAACACACGCACGCAAATAGTTCACACAAGCCAAAACCAGGGCAACATCAGACGTTGCATTCGGTTCAGCTTCAGGGTAAAGGCTCTCTGCCACATCAACTCGGCGGAGTCGACAGTGGGGTGTGGAAATTTGGTCAGTATATGTCACGCTGCGAATGTAACATCAATTTATGTTGCAGACGCTAGATCGATGTTACATTTTGTTCTTTCATGACATCCTTGACATATTATACACACACAGTTCCGTTTCAATTCCTACAATGCTACTGCTTCATTGAGTGTCAAGTAGGTCACATACCCAGAAGTGGATATAAACTACAATCTGTGGTATTTCTCAACCATCAGTAGAGGGGGGAATGGATGTAGCTTGAGTATGAGATAAGTGACATCATACTACTATCATCCGTTTCTTTTTCTTTTTTCTTTTTTTTTTCGCTTCTTTTTGTGTTGTGTTAGCCAATGTAACATTGTTGCTCCAATCGATGTTACATTCTTTTCTCACATAACCCATACTCATAATTTTACTCATCTACCCACATGGGTTGGTCATTTCTTAGAACCTTACACACGAACTTATATATATATATATATATGTATATCTACATACACAAATCTTCCAAGGCATGAAGAGCTTATAGATCTGTAGTAGAAGATCTAAACTCTGCTTTTACACTCCCCTCCACCCCATCTTCCCCCCCCTACAAACAGATCGCCATGTCGTATACCAGATTCACCAACTGTCATCTCATCGATAACGGTGAGCTATACGAGTTCACAGACTTGTACATTGACAATAGCACAAGGAAAATAACAAAACAGCCAACCGACCTTAACCAAATCACCAAAACTGTTGATTTGCACGAACAAATCATTGCACCTGGCTTTATTGACATACAAAACAATGGTATATATGGGTTAAATTTCTCCAGCTTGAATGAAAACTCAACTACTGAGGATATCAAGGACTTTCAAATATTTTACAAGGATGCAATGACAAAATACTTGTCCACCGGTGTTACTTCCCTTTGTCCCACAGTGACATCCAACTTCCCAAGCGTTTACACTAAAGTTCTTCCATTGTACAAAAAGTCTAGAATGTCAAACCAGACGGATTCGTTAGGAGCACACCTTGAAGGTCCATTTATAAACTTGCAAAAGAAAGGGTGCCATCCGCCAGAGACCTTTGTTGATGCCAAAGGCGGTGAAAACAAGCTTTTGGAAGTGTACGGTGGCAAAGGCAACCTTTTGGAAAACGTCTGCATTATTACTGCTGCTCCAGAGATACCTGGTGTTTTGGACTTGATCCCATACGTCAAACAACAAAATTGTGTCTTTTCAATTGGCCACACTATGGCAGACCATCAAACTGGCGTCGATGCTATTGAAAATGGATGCACCATGATCACACACTTGTACAACGCCATGCCACAACCTCATCATCGTGATGCCGGTGTGGTAGGTTTGATAAACACACCTAAAGTTTCGCCTGAAAGAGTTCCTTATTTCGGTCTCATATGTGATGGCGTGCACATTGATCCGTCTATGGTCAACTTGGCATACAAGTCGAACCCAGTTAAATGTGTTTTGGTAACTGATGCCATGCACTTGATAGGTTTACCAGATGGCGAGTACAAGTGGGACGAGCAAGTCATAGTCAAAACTGGCGATAGATTATATTTAAAGGGCACAGACACCTTGGCTGGTGCTGCTGCAACTTTACCACATTGCATTAGAAACTTGATGAAATGGGCCAACATTGGACTCGCCGAAGCAGTGAAAACAGCAACCAACAATGCTGCCTTATCGATTGGAGTTGAACATGAAAGGGGTTTCCTAAACGTAGGGTGTGATGCCGATTTGGTAGTTTTGAATAAAGAGGGATTCGTCACCAAGGTTTACAAGTTGGGTAATGAAGTCATTTCATCTGATATCCCACAATCAAGTGTCCAAAGAGAAAGCAAAATTAGGGCTGTGTTATAGATATATACAAATAAAGACCATAGTTTATAAAATATCAAATATATATGAATGCAGATTCTATTTATTTTCCATTCCTGGGGAATAAGCATATTTAGAGTATGCTCTAATTCTTGCTCCATAAAAGAAGAACAAGTAAGGAATGAGACAGCAAGCCAATGAGATAAAAGCCATTAATGAACTGGCCCATTCATAACCTAACCGATGGTACATTTGGATGGTGAACAATGGGACACAAGCACCCCAGACAGACCTAACAAAAGTCTTTGCCGCTAAAGCACTTGCAGCATAATGCTGGTACGAGTCCACGATGTAGTTATTTGCAGGGTTGTATAATCCACAAAGACCAAATCCAACACCTAAACCAGAAAAGCATGGACCTGCCCAAGACAACCAACTGTAGGAAGACCAAGCAAATGCAAATAGACCAGCTGGAACGAACCAACAAGAGATCATCATTGGAATCAATCTCAACTCAGCTGGTGGCAACTCTCCTCTGTCTCTGTACAGTTGAGCCCTTTTGTTGTAATCCTTGTTAAAAAATGGAGCAGCGAGGGTGGCAAGAATAACCCCACCGCCGATTGGGATAAACATGACACCGGTTTTGGAAGCAGACCAGCCTTTACCATCCATGTATACCACTGGGTAAGCAAAGAAGAACATGTACAACAAACCGTAAATAACTGCCATGTACATGGTCACCAAAAACACAATCAATTCGCTCAACAACACAAATGGTCTCAATAGGGATGTCTTTGCAACTTCTTTGAACGTTCTCACTTCAATTTCATTCAAGCATCTATATCTTTCATCTCCAGTATCTTTCCTCAACTTCTTCGATCTCTTTCTCAACAATGTTCCATGATGTGTTTCAGGCACAACGGAAATGAAAATTGCATAAAAAACACCAGCAATGATCAAAAATGTCCAGTAGATCCATCTCCACGTTGGTGCGTGATCGGCCAATAAACCACCAAAGATTGGCCCACACACAGGACCCAAGAATGGAGCAGCTGAAAAAATGGCCATGGCGACACCTCTTTCCGGCCCTTCCCAAATATCAGCCAACGAGCCTCCAATCAATGTCATGGGGGCACTAAATGCAAGTCCATCAATCAAACGACAAACAATCAAGGTTCCAATATTCTTTGCAGCACCACATGGGATAATAAAGATCAATGCAACAAAAAGTGTAGCAACATAAATTGGCTTTCGACCGACTTCCTCCGACATTGGAGCAAACACCAATGGACCAAATCCGAAACCCAAAACAAACATAGTAACAGAGGCCAAAATAATAACCTCTTCCGAGACACCAAAGTAAACAGCTGGTCGCCCCAAGTCACCTGTCACAATAGCAGATCCAAGAGCAACAACGAAGCAAATAGAACCCAAGATACCCGTGTAAACCCACTTGATTCCCGAGCCCCAATTGATTGGATTGCTTCTGTCATTTTCTACCCATTCGACTATCCTTAATCCAGTATCCTCATCAAGAGGATACTTCCAAGGATCATTTTCATTGAAATCCGATTGTGGATCTGGATGCGTTTGCACCAACTTGATATCCAATGGCTCTTCCAAGGGACCCAATTGTCCTGCGCCTTCTTGCAACTCTGTCTTTATCCTCTCAACTCCTGGATTATTTGACACCAATTTCTCTAGCTCCTCGTCGTCTTCATGTGAGCCCAAATGGGAGATTATTTTGGAAATTCTGCTCTCAGTTCTGTGGACAACATGGCGATCTTGTTGCTCCTGCAAGGCGTCTCCATATTCTCTTGGTTTCTCTGAATCTAAGCTTGCATTATCAATTGTATCTGAATCTGTTCTGGACATCATTTGTTTTAAATAGTAAAGTGTAGAGTGAAAACAACCGTCTCCAATCTCAACCATCAGCAGCGAACCTTGCCCCTTAAGTACTCCTTGATCGAATCCGCTGGTGTTGCTGACAAGGTTAGGAGTGCTTGGCTACTCCCTACCAATCGGTAGGTAGTTAGCACTAAATTTTGCAACCGCTTTGCTCTTTAGGCAATAGAGCGGTATAATATCATATGCGTCACTACACACAATAATGCCGCACGCAGAGGAAAAATAATAACACATTCTGCATCATTACACAAAACCAAAAATAAGAAGCGCTTTAATACCGAGATCGGTTCTTACATCGATCGGTTGTAGAACTGTATCCTTGTTTGCTTGCCATTTGACCCTCGACCGACTCATTTCAGGCATGGTAGTCTACCCAAATGAGCACTGTCCACCATCGAGAGTACCTGTCCACTCATAACAATGCACAGATCGTTCCTTTGTCGTTGTGTTTGCTTGATGTCACGTGCACAATTTTGCGGGATTTCTAAACTTCTTTATTGTTTTCTCTTCAATCTTTCTATCTCTGCATACCACTCAATATGCACCCGGTAAACAGTGGGTTAGGTCGGTTAGAAATGAGCTATAGTTGCTTCCGCCTCTCCCCCTTTTTCTTGGCACAATCTGTCCATTTCTATGCAGCTTCCACACTCACATCCCCCTTTGAGTTTGGCACGTTACGACACATTGCATGTACCGACGTAGACTCGAGCCGTCCCGCACATTCTCAGGATACTCCCCCGTAGATATTCAGACCGATAACACCATCAAATGCTTCCACATCTGTCAAGTATCCTCCTTTGACTCCTCTCAAACTCAACATCGATTCCATACTAGTTAAAGTAAGTTCCAAAGCTTGAAATTGGGTTATCGAAAGCCGCACTTCGTTTTTTAGCTGTGCCAACATATCAAAGATGCGCCGCATATACTCATATCCAGTAGGATTTCTTGTTATGTTTACCGCTTTCATGAGGGCTCTCGCAATTACCTGAAGTTTAACGCAGACACCAGGCCCATTAAACTCAAAAGATATTAAAGGAAGTGTTCTTGTCGTTTCGCAAAACTCTCTAGCAATGGCTATTGGGAACTCGTTTGATAGACAAAACTCTGAACCGTCAATCATATTGTTTGTGCTAGCTGCCTCCCAGGTCAAGGTCATCATCCAGTACTTGCTTATTAATATGTTTGCCTTTTGAATGTCTGGCGCGGCTTCAAGTATTGTAATCTGTTGTAGCTGACTCTGTACTGTCGATATTAAGCGGAAGGAGTTTGTATCATGCTTGAGTGCTCGAAACTGATCAAAAATGGACTTGTTGGGTATTGCAAAAATCTTAACCAATTCCTTGAAACCACCAATTAATATTGAATATTCCTCGTCGTCAAGAGAAGGAAACGGCACAGATGGTTCAAGTATAACCGGAAGTGACAGCTCAAGACCCACAAAACGTTCGGTAACCACCAATAAGTAGTAGATTTTCCTCATTCTGTGAGTTTCCGCTGGTGAACTGGAATAAGTTTCCACTCTGTCAAGCCCCATAATCTGTGCAAGGGTGATTGATTCCCTCAAATAGCATACAGCAGTTGCACCAGCATCCGCGTGAGCCAATGCAATATGGAGAAAAAACGAAGTCAAAATGCATTCCAAAGTTGGCTCAGTTTTTTTCACTCGAATGGCTTCTGAAGTAAAATCGATATCGAGGATACTTTTTGGTACGAGTTTTTGATTGGCCATAAACTTCACTTGGCCAGTGATTGTGGCGCAAATAGCACACCCCAATGCGTATGCCGATGGTTCAACAATTCGGGAAATTAGTTCTGCCACTGATACGACAGGCCATATTCCGTAATACCAGACCTGATAAACATTAAGACAAGGTAGTAGAGTCTCTAAGCTGATTAATGGCACAAAGTGGTTAGTTTCTAATGCAGTTGTAATTGCAAGTTTCTTTATTGCATCTCTTGTTTTGTCGTGTATCTTCTTTGGACCACACTTTTTCTTTACTCGAATGTTTGTACACTCCAAGCCGTGTGTAACACATCTGCCACAAGGAACTTTCAAATCACACTTGACCTTGCGGATACTGCACGAGTCGCATGCTCTTCTACTTTTAGTCACGGGCCGAGCTGCGGTATTTCTCATCTGGTCCTGACCATCTCCTTGTCGAGTCTCTGCAGCCTGGTTCAATGATCTAGAGTCTAGGTTCCCCAAGGTCGAGTGATCTGCCGTAATATTCATTTGTTGTGCATGGATCCCATCATCAACCGTGTGGATGTACCCATCGGGTGGAGAATTCTGTACACCAAAGGGAGAAACTGAATTAGGATTCGAGGAGGCACTAGAGTGTAGTTCTTCTGAGGTAATGAAGTCAGACACTCCTGTATAGTTGTTGTAGTTGGCGTTCATATTGTAAGGAGTAAGCCGAAGATTTCACTTTCGATCCTTCGGAGATTCGTTCTTATTTTTTTTTTTTTTTAGGGTTCCCGTAAACGGGGTGCTCTGAGATTTTACGATGCACACTAATTAAAAATGTCACCAACAAGAGTAACACCTGCGAACCCCACGTGATACTCAAGTCTTGTTACAAGTGGAGTTAGGAGCAAATCAGCGACCCTTTTGATCTGGTTAGATGAATCCATCACCCTTTCTTTGAATGGACAACGCCTCGCCATGGCCAATGTCACACTTGTGAGATTGCCAGGAACAAGGTGTTATAGAATATAGAGATCTGTTATTCCAGCAGTGACCCCACAAAACGAATACACCTTGCAATTGACGACTTTCAAGTTTGGTCTTTTTCACTTGGCTATCACATCAAGAGAATGCAAAAAATAAAAATCAAAAAAAAAAGGAAAAATAAAATTATCAACAAACGAAAACGCGGTTTGAAACAGGCATACAGTTACAACCTCCAACGCTGGCAATCATGGCGGACATCGAAAACATAGGAGAGCAAAAGGAACTATCTATAAAAGAGGAATACCAATTATGGAGAAAGAACTGCAGATATATGTATGAGTTTGTCACCGAGACTGCATTAACGTGGCCCTCCCTAACCATACAATGGCTCCCAAACACCTCCACCGAGAATGGCATTATCAACACTAGGCTCCTCCTTGGAACACATACATCGGGGAATGATCAAAATTACTTGAAAGTTGCCGAAACACATCTTTCGGAGAGCGGCGAGCAAAAAGCCAATTCAAGAATCAAGATTGTACAAAAGTTTACAAACAACCAGGAGATATGTAGGGCTAGATATATGCCACAAGATCCGAATATAGTGGGCACGATCAACGGATCCGGGGAGGTCGATTTGTACAATTTAGGTAGTGATGAAACCGGGAGCTTTTCACATTTCAGTCCTCATTCTGATAACGGGTACGGCCTTTCATGGAATCCTATTAATCAAGGATTGTTGTTGACAGCTGCAGACGACAAACAAGTTTGTGTCAGCGATACCAACAAAGCCAATGTGTTGATATTCAAGAACGGAGATCTGAGCGATATTGTAAATGACGCCAAATGGCACCACTTTAATGGCAATTTGTTTGCGTCGGTCTCAGAGGATCAATACACTTACATCTACGACACCAGAGCAAACGCAATTGCGTCCAAGTACTATTCAAAGGACTCCTCCGGTATCAACTCTTTGACTTTTTCCCCATTTTCCCAAAATTTGCTCGCGATAGGGAACACAAACTCCAGTATAAACTTGTTGGATTTGAGAAAATTAAACAGCAAAGGCACCTCCGGCTTATTGCATACTTTGATGGGACACACCGAGGGCATAACATGTATGGAATTTTCGCCTCACAATGACGGGATCTTAGCCACTGGTGGACTGGACAGGAGGTTAATATTGTGGGATTTGTTCAAAATTGGAGAGGAACAACAGCAAGAGGATGCTGAGGACGGATGCCCAGAGTTGTTTATGATTCATGCTGGGCACACTGCGGGAGTCACCGATTTGAGTTGGTGTCCATTCAAAGAGTGGACTATCGGGTCTGTTGCTGATGACAACATTGTCCACTTATGGGAAGTGAATAAAGGCTTGTTGGTCAATGAAGACGCAACTGAGACCATTCCTGACAAGCTAATTGAGTAGGGGTGGGGAGGGAGTATGTAAATTATGTAAAATTCATTAATTCCCAATATATTTAACACCAGGGGGAAGTCTTACTGTAGCACATAACAATGATGAATCACCTGTGACGTGACAGGCAAACAGACAACCTTTATGAAAAGCCTCGGATGCAAAAACTACATTCTACAAAATCCAGTATACATAGTCCTCGTGTGAGACAAACTTCAACAAAGTGAACACAACAAACAATAACAAAGGCGAAAGGAAAAAATAAAAAAAAAAAAAAAAAAAAAATCCAAAAATTGGTCACAGCATTATTCCACCAAACGCCGAAAGTTACGTACCATGTCCGATTTCCCACCTAATGTGTCGATAAGACCGTTGACCATTGAAGATATCGATCAATGTATAGAATTAGAGAAGAAAGGGTTCCCAGAAAATGAAAGATGCACGCCTGCCAAATTCAAATATAGACTAACAGTGGCACCAGAATTGTGTTCAGGTTTATTCATTAGAGATTACGACTACAAATACAATTACATCAACTTACCAGAGGTTGCTAAGTCACTTCAAGAAAAACACGATGCAGAAGAGAAACGCGACCCGTCCAAAACTAAACACGGTGAACACGGTGAACCCGATGATGATGATGATGATGATGATGACGAAGAATTTCCAGAAAAATCCTCTGTTGTTAAGGAAACTTTGATTGGACATATTATAGCTACAAAAGTGGATGGAACAAGAATTACCGAAGCATCAATGGAACTCCCATCGAAGGACGTCAAGGGCTCTGGGCACTGCGAATCATCGAGATACATTGGGATCCATTCGGTTGTGATTGCTCCTGAGTGGAGAGGCAAGAACTTGGCTGCTTTATTATTGCACGATTACATCCAAAAGTTGTCGAATCAAGATATGGGGGACCAGGTCGTTCTTATTGCGCATAAGGAATTGATCCCGTTTTACGAGAAGATTGGTTTCAACAATGTTGGCGAGAGCGAATGCAAATTTGCCAACACAACGTGGTATGATATGGCAATAGATTTAGTGCCTGCAGATGATCTTTGATGCGCTATTTAGAGTTCTTTGTATTTGTAACAGTTTACTAGCGGTATTGTTTTAACGTTCATGAATATGACATGTAATGACAGAGATGAATTTGTAAAATTTGTACGAGGAAAATAATTTCACACACACGCACTTGTTCTTTCACCATTACCAGTTGTGATGTTGACAGTCCCCCAACCAATTCAAAGGATATTTGACTCGGTACCATTAAAAGTGTATAGCGATCAACAGGAGAGTGTTTTACCAGAGAAGCTTTATCTGTTTCCTAATGCTCCATCGGATCCACTCATACTTGGCGTGTACAACACTTTTGAATATGACAAGTTTGTATTGCCAACAGATCCAGTTTCACTATACACATTGCTAATACTAGCCAAGAAAAACGACTTTGGATTACCTGAACTGACGAGTAATAGCAATTGCGGGATAACTCGAATCCCATTCCGAGGATCTCCTTCAAATTCACTTCCAATTTTGATCAGTGACGGTACTGTGAGAGCGATTGAGAGTTCAGAACAGATTGAGAAGAAGATCGCATCAAAGAATATACAGTCAGCAAAGGTGCTTATGATAAAAGAATTTGTTGATACTGTTCTTTTTGATTCATGGATAGCTTGCTTGTTAGCGGAAAAGATACAGCCACAAACGTTTTACCAACTTTTCGGCATCAACAACAAATTGGATGTATACGAATTGAAAATGCAGATACCTAAGTGGAACAACTTTTCTATCAGGCATGCATCACTTTTTAGTCACCACTATAATAACCAATATTTGCAAGCTTTTTACACCTCCCAATGTGATGAATTTGAGAAAGCTATAGAGCTGTTGAAACAGTATTTGCAGAGCCCTGATCCAGAGACGACAGTCATTAAATACAAAGTAGCAGCTTATGCTATTATCATTGATCATTTCTTGAAAGATACACAGGTTGGTCAGATAATGAGTCGATACCCGGAAGTTGTCACCACATCGTACGCAGTTTTGAGTAGCTAAGGACATCTACATACACAAACTCTATCTAATTGCCAATGAATCAACTCCACCCGTTAAAAGAACTTTGATATTATCGTCTATCAATTTCTCAGCAGTATCTGACAAGTGCTTTTTAGGGTCTTGCTTTCCAACATACCTCGTTTTCAATTGCTCTTCAGTCAACTCCTTCTCTTCACTGACTCTTTGACTGTACAATTTGGCTATATTCACCATTTTTTCAGTACTCTCCACATTCTCTATTTCATTGTGGTTATAATCTACGAGGTTCAATCCCGATTGCCAGTTCTTCTTGTGCAAATTGAGCAACATGTTTGTATCATTGGTCGTCTTGTGGTAGTCAATATTTAATGAGTAGTAATGACGATTCAACCCGTGTATCAAAGCCTGAATAGAAGGCTTGTTCAAATGACCAACATTGGAAGTGGATTGACGTGGTTCTTGTCCCATCATCAACGTAGTGGTATCTATAGTTCTAAAAGCATCAATCACCACTTTACCCTTGACTGACTGAATAGGATCTATAACAACGGCAACTGCCCGCTTGTTCAATTGCTCAAAAGATTGCTGGGTGTTGACATCAACAGAGGATAGCCAGCAGCCAAAACCCGGATGTGAGTGATACCAACCTACAACCGACTGGTCTCTTCCAGTCTGTCTAAGCATGTCCATCATCTTTGTTTGAAACACATCATCCACAGCTTCAACGGAGACACCAGTACCGGATTGTGGCATGGCAAAAACATCATACACCTGTATAGTAAAATCATCCACAAATTCGCCCAACATCAATCCCATAACCTCCATAGGCACACCAGCCCTTCCGTGCTTCAACATCTTGAGTAATGCGAGGGAAGAAATGTAAACGGTTTCGGAATTGTCAACTGCTGGTCCATCAGTTTGGGGTGGTGCTGCTCCACCTAACCCTGCTCCTTGACCTAGTAATCTTTGCAACCTTTCCATAATTGAGATATATGTATTGAGTTTGAATTTGCTGAATGAGTGATTATCAGTGGCAACAAAACTAGTACTCGTGTTGGAAGGAGAGAGAGAATGCAAAGACAATAAAAGAAAAAAAAAAGAATAGTGAGTAAAAAGCGCTGCACCTGCAATACACGTGACGTACATCGGTACGGCACTGAAAAAAAAAAAAAGTTTATTTCCCCCTCCAGCCCCCTCTCCCAACTTTCGCTTTGATTTCTCACTATTCTCAATCTTTTCTTCAATCAGAATATAGCTCAATTGCAATGTCGGATGGGCCTGAGTCACTCGAGGGTAAAAAGTACCCAGCTAAGAAACACGCACACAATGTGCTTACGAATTTGAAAAAGAAAAACTCTACAAAAGCACAAGATGCATCCTTTTTCATCAGTGGGGAGGATTTGGAATTGTACAAGTATTGCGATCAAACTAGACCATTTAGACAAAATAGGTACTTTTTCTACTTGAGTGGGAATAATATTCCAGGCTCACATGTTTTGTATGAAAGTGGCAAGGACAAGTTGACGGTTTATTTGCCTAATGTGGACAAGGAGGATATCATGTGGTCTGGACTACCATTGTCGAAGGAAGAGGCTGCCAAGAAATTTGATGCAGACGAAATCAAATATGCTGCTGATGTTGCTGGAGACTTGAAAGGATTAAAGAGTAAACCATTCACGACCGATATTAACAAATTTAACTTGGATTTCAGCTCTTACTTGATTGAAAAAGACGAGGATTTCTTTTACGCATTGGACGAAGCTCGTGCATTCAAAGATGAGTACGAAATCGAGTTGATGAGACACGCTGCCAAGATCACTGACAATTGCCACCTTGCAGTCATGTCAGCTGTGCCTATTGAAACAAAGGAGACACACATACACGCTGAATTCATGTACCACGCGTTGCGTCAAGGATCCAAAAATCAGTCATATGACCCTATATGCTGCAGCGGTGAGTCATGCTCTACTTTGCATTGGGTAAGAAACGATGGTGACATCACTCCAGAGAAAAGGTCAGTCTTGATCGACGCTGGGGCCGAATGGGACTGCTATGCTAGTGACGTCACAAGGTGTTTCCCAGTTAATGGAGAATGGACAAAAGAGCATTTGGATATTTACAATCTTGTTTTGAAAATGCAAAATGAGGTTTACAAATCAATGAAACCAGGCGTTGAATGGGAAGACCTCCACCTTAAAGCTCACCGAGTTTTGATTGAAGGGTTTCGAGAATTGAACATTTTCAAAAAGGAATACTCAGTGGATGAAATTTTTAAAGCTAAAGTTAGCGCAAGATTTTTCCCCCACGGATTGGGTCATATGTTGGGTATGGATACTCATGACACTGCCGGGTATGCCAACTACTCCGACCCTGATCCCCTCTTGTGTTACTTGAGAATTAGAAGAAAACTTGAACCAAACATGGTTGTGACAAACGAGCCGGGTTGCTACTTTTCCCCTTTCTTGTTAGAAGAGACCTTGAATGATCCCTCAAGAAGCAAATACATCAACAAGGATGTATTGGATAGATACTGGTACATCGGTGGTGTTAGAATCGAGGATGACGTTTTAATCACCAAGGACGGCTATGAAATCTTTACCAAAGTAACCAAAGATCCGGAAGAGATTAGTGAGATTGTAAAGGCTGCGCACGAGAGAGGTGTAAATAGTTTCCACAACATTGTATAAGGATGGTGAGATAAAACTGTGTTGATGTTTCACTATTCTATGTTATAACCGACTTTGTTTAACATACCGACCGCCGCAGTTGGCATGTTAATGGAAATGATATTAACTCCTACTGTTTGGAGAATGAGAATTAAAATTTACAAGAAAGATTCGGGTGATGCTACACATTAAATGTTTGGATGCCGCCTCTCTACGGGTATATATGTAGTAAAGAAAGATAGTTATCGTTTATAGTCTCAAAATTACGCTACAAATGAACTTATATGCCTCGCTTCTAATTGGTACAGTGAAAGTTGTGCCTGCGTCCCCTTTCCATTTTCTGTGGCCCTGATAAATTGTTTGTTACACTGGTTTTGTTGTTGTTGTTTTTGTTGTTTTTGTTGTGTTTTTTTTTTTTTTTTTTTTTTTTTTTTTTTTTTTTTTTTTTTTTTTTTTTTTTTCTCTTTTTTATCAATGTGTTGTGCGTGGATTACGTTCAATTGCTCTTTCTCCTTTCCACATTCACAACTCAATCCCAGCACAGTATACACAATGGACGAAAACTACGACGTTATCGTTTTGGGAACTGGCTTGACCGAATGTGTCTTGTCCGGTCTCTTATCAGTCGAAGGAAAGAAGGTGTTGCATATCGACAGACAAGATTTCTATGGCGGGGAATCGGCTTCTCTCAACTTGTCACAATTGTATGGGAAATTCAAGCCAACAGCGCAAAGACCAGAGTTGAAAGGTAGAGACAGAGATTGGTGTGTTGATTTGATACCAAAGTTTCTCATGGCAAATGGCGAATTGACAAATATATTGGTGCACACTGAAGTCACTCGTTATATTGAATTCAAACAGATCGCAGCAAGTTATGTTTACAGAAGCGGTAGAATTGCTAAGGTTCCATCAAATGCAAAAGAGGCATTGGCCTCACCATTGATGGGGATTTTCGAAAAAAGGAGAATGAAAAAGTTTTTGGAGTATATTCAAAACTATGATGAAAAGAACCCCGCCACTCATCAAGGATTTGACTTGGATAAGAACACCATGAATGAGATTTACACTTATTTTGGATTGGAGAGCGGTACCAAAGACTTTATTGGACACGCAATGGCGCTTTGGTCAAATGACGATTACTTGAATGAGGTTGCCAGACCTACATACGAGAGAATCTTGTTGTACGCGCAGTCTGTTGCCAAATATGGTAAATCTCCTTATATTTATCCATTGTATGGATTGGGCGAGTTGCCTCAGGGATTTGCTAGGTTGTCCGCCATCTATGGAGGAACTTATATGCTAGATACACCAATAGATGAAGTGTTGTATGAAGGAGAGGGACCTGATAAGAAATTTGCCGGTGTTGTGACAAAAGAAGGTACAGCAAAGGCACCCATCGTTGTTGCTGACCCTACATACTTTCCTGAATATGTTAAGAAAACCGGACAGAGAGTCATTAGAGCTATTTGCTTGTTGGACCACCCAGTACCCAACGTGGATTTGGATTCTTTGCAAATCATTATTCCCCAAAATCAAGTTGGTAGAAAGAATGATATTTATATTGCCGTGTTGTCCGATGTTCACAATGTGGTTCCAAAGGGACACTTTCTTGCGATCGTGTCAACAATTATTGAAACAGATGCACCACACGTGGAGTTGGAGCCTGCATTTAAGTTATTGGGACCAAGAATAGACACCTTGATGGGTATAGCCGAGCTTTACGAACCAAAGGATGATGGAACAAAGAACGGTATCTACTTGTCTAAGAGTTACGATGCCAGTTCCCATTTCGAATCCACCACTGATGACGTGAAGGATATTTACTTTAGAATCACTGGGAAGCCATTGGTTTTGAAAAAGAGAGAGACCGAGGATGAAGAGTCAAATGTGATTCCATAAAGTTAGAGAAGTAGAAAGTGTAGCAAAGATTAAGATTGTAATGTGTTACTAGAATTATCCACACAATGTTACGCCTCTCGCGAAAATATGTTACCTCCCAAGGTCTTTCTAGGAATCTCCGATTCAGACAAGAACTTAGCCTCAAATTGCCCGCCGATGATTAGCACATCCCTAGTTAGGTCAACCACACACCGGTGCCTTCTCAACATGTCGAGACCAAACAAAATACCTACCGAGGTATCAACAACATAAAATGAACACGGCAACTCGACACCAGTGCCATGAATTTCAAGCGGTACGCTGTGGATCTTTCCGCCGATATTTTGTGTACCAACACCAACAGCTTGACCTTGAAATCTCTTGTCAATCAACCTTGATATGCCACACTCCTGCGCTATATCCGGACTAATGATTGTCATGGCAGCACCGGTATCAACCAAGGCAACTTGCTCAACGCCATTGATTTTCAACTTGAGATAAAGCATATTGACGCTAGTGAAACTCTCGGGACTTATATCCCAGGCCAACTTCATGTTCTCTTCAATAGCCTCTTGCTGGATCAACTCCATAATACGAGCCTGGTTTTCCGGATTATCTGGATCTTGTTGTAATCGGAGTAATTCAGCCTGCGACGACGAAGAATCCCGCTGCTCTTCCCTCACTTGCTCAATCATCAAGCTTCTGAAAGTTTCAGGATTATTTATCGCATTGTAGAGACTGGGCTGAGTCACACGCATGGTTTCGAGAGCACGCGGATCTGACAAGATCTGTTGTCTCACCATTTCCACTCGGTCATTGATTTGCGAGTTTGAAGGGTGGCCAGTTGCGGGAGTTGTCGCCAGTTGCAGCGCGGAAGAAGATGGTGGTGCATGGTTTTCTCTTGCTTTGGATAAGATCAATAAATCGTTGTTGACTATGCCCAACTCCGTCAACGTTTTATTTGCCTTCAATGGGTTCCCATTTAATTTCAAGTTTTGCTCGGCGGGGCTAATTCCAGTTTCCGCTTGAAGGTAAGCTTTGAAGTCCTCGAGGGACAATGATTCTGGAACATCTACGGAGATGATGTCTCCACTGAAATCTAGCGATATGGTCAATTGCATTTTTGCCTCTGAATTCGCAAGTTGCAAACGAGGTCCAAAGATTGTTTTTTTTTTTTTTTCTCTATTTTTTCTTTTTTTTTTTCCTCTTTGATGTATTTATACGCCGTTTTATCATTATCTGGGTGGCAAAATCTATTACATTACTAATGTAAATGGCTACTTAAACTGAAATACAAACCCAACCGATCTCTTACGGCTCGGCCCTCTTCGCCACCGGCACTGTTTCCATAGTTTATGCATTTACCACATCTGGGATAATCATGGCCACTTGGCCCCCATTCAACAACATTTTCTTCACAACTTCACCCTTGCCATCGTTGTTGTTATCAGAGATCGTTGTGACATCTTCCAAGACCATGTTCACAAAGTCATCAAACCCTATTAGTGTTCCGCGGAATTCTGTATCACTCGTCATCAATATGCGAACCTTCTTTCCAATTGATCTATCTATGACTTCCAACGGAAGCACTTGTTGCAGTATAGATCCGCTAGTCCCTTCAACGGTATGTTCCTCGCTCATGTTGTGGCTGTATTCTAATGTAGACTGAACACTTTAGGCTTTGTCTTTAGGCTTGACAGCTTTGGTGATGAATTTTTTTTTTCTTCCTCGTTCCTTTTTTTTTTTTTTTTAACATCTCGCATGCACAAAATTAAAGCTTGCCTATATAATCCTTTACCCTACACACTCGCCCAATTCTTCTTGCCCTTCCAGCCTTCAAAATCAATTAATGCTTGCATACACCCCCACTCGGTGATTTTGTTTTGAAGCCAGACCAAATTCACAGGTTTTGTCAAGTAATCATTACAACCAGCGGTTAATGCATTCTTCCTATCAACTGATGAATTAGAAGATGCAGTCAAAGCAACGATTATCACCGGTGACCTGAAGGTATTTGTATCCAATTTATCATCCGGCTCTAACTCATTCAATGCCAACCTGTTCAACTCTGTGTCGTCAAATACACCAATTTTATTCAATTTTTCTAAATGTCGTATTTCCTTCGTAGCCTCTATACCTGACTTCACGGGTAGTTGAATATCCATCAACACTAGATGGAACCCCCCTTTCTTCCACTTGTCAATTGCTTCTTGTCCATTTTTGGCTATTTGGTAGTTGATTTTCCGTTTCCTCAAAAACGCACCCAAAATTGCTTGATTAATGGCATTATCCTCAACAACAAGGACGGAAATCGATGGAAAAACTTTATCTAAAGCCGGATCGGTTGGCTTTTCAAATTTGGTACCCTTGCTGGAGCTGATGGTTTTTGTCAACGACGGTAAAAGGTCAGTCTTCGACAGCTCTGCTTGAGGGCCAGGTGAAGGAGATGATACAAAGTTGGCATCAATTTTCTTGTTCTTGACGGCGGGGTGTTCCTGGGAAGAGTCGGCTGAAACTTTTGCTTGAGAGCCCTCATCGACGCTTGCTTTAACACTTTCTTGTAGTGTTTTGGACTTTGATGAAGTTGAGCTGGAGTTGATGGAAAAGTTTTTAGGCAAAAGAAGAATTGCTTGCGGATTGGATTTTTGCAGTGGTGATTGCACTACATTGGCGTGTGATTGACTTCGCGGAACCGGTGAATTTTTTGCAGCTGTTATCGAAGGCGATACAGATCTCTCCTTGTAGGAAGTCGTCCCCGACAAACTAGTATAACTCGACTTAGATGCTGAAAAATTCTTTAATGCCTGGACTTGGCTATGGCCATGGCCATAGCCATGTGACTGTGGTTGTGGATGTTGTGCTTGCGGGAATGGTGTACCTTGCTTCGATTGTGGTTGTAGCGGTTGTGGTTGTAGCGGTTGTGGTTGTCTCAATTGGGATCGGTCATTTGGTGGTTTCGAGAGAGGTCCATCTTGGTCGGAATAGGAGTATTGACGATCTCTAGGTTGAGCCTCCACATTTGCACCAGAGGAGCTAAAACTTTCTATTATTATCGCATCATTCATACCCATTCCCTGGGGGAAATGCGTATCTAGAACTTGCCATACATTCTGGTCGGGTTGCAATTGCTTTACATCATCAGTCAGCCTATTTGATGGTTTCTCCAGCACATTATCCGTGCTCGAATCGCTCACTATATCTAATTTGAGTGTCAAGTTGGCTGCATCGTCAAACCTTCCAATTGAATTGGGATACTTTTGTATTATTTGCGACTTCAAGTCGTCCACTATGTCATCCTTGTAAGCTGATATCGTAGTTGGTGTTCCTTGCGGCATCCTCACCCATATTCTTCGAGGTTTATTATACTCTTCATCTGCCACTGACCACGTAGTTGGCGTACGTCCCTGACCAGCATAACCCAACGACTTGCCCGTATTGGTATCCACCAGGAGATGGGATTGCTTATCATTCTTGAGGTAATTATTATCCTGTGTCGAATTTAAGGAAGTGCTGACCCCACTCATCGGAGCACTCATTGAGTGCCTTGGTATCAGATTCAGTGACGTAGACTTCATCTGGTACGGGGGCGCAAAGTCACCACTGTTGTACATATGGCTCATCGTGGGGGGGAATTGATTGTATAAGCTAGGGCGTGGTATCTTAGAGGACAATTTTTTCCTCAAAATTGAAATACTCGTAGATACATATCCGCGACACAACACTTGGAGATTGAGGCTATAAAGAGCTACAAATCTCAAAAAGAGAATTAACATACACAGCAAATTATATCAAGAAGTTATGCAAGGTTAAAGTGCCACCAGTCCCGTTAACAATACAGTGCCTACAAGTTTAGATAACAGCCAGGGTGACAAAATTATGGTGAATTATCTTACCCAATCGATATGAGTAACTAATCATTCCCAGTCATCCTCATCCTCATCCTCATCCTCATCCTCATCCCCGTAGGCATCCCCTTTATCTTTGTTGGTGTCTTCCTCTGAGACTTTAGTATGAGGCTGCAGTTGCTTGGGTTTGCTCACCTTTACAGGTGCCTCTTCATCTTCATCATCCCAAGTAAAATCATCTTCATCCTTATCTCTAGCCTTTTCTGCCGTCTCACCTTTCTTTTCCTTTTGTAGCAATTCCTTCCTTTGTTTGTCTAGATCTTTCAATTTTCCTTCATTCTTGAAATATCGGTACCAAAACGTGTTATAACTTACCTTCACTGGCACGAGCTCATTCATTGTTTCTTCCAAAGTTTCAGGATACTTTTTCAAAAGAGCTTCAATTTCGGAGGTCTTGGAGTCCGAGTTGAAATTGCTTATTTCCTCTTCGTTGTCAATGGTATCATCGGTGTAGAATTCCTTGGTGGTGTGCAACTTGAGCAAATCGTTGTCATATCTAGTTGCTCCATATTGAGTGTATAAGGGCGAACTGTAAAGAACCTCTTTTTCTTCTGATTTGGGCTCCGGCTTTACAGACACTATGTTGGACAAAAACGAGGTGAAATTGGTAACGTACTCACTGGCCTTGTTTTCAACAGCTTCCAACCTAGAGTCTAAACCATCCAATGCACTGCTAGCTGCCTTTCTCAACTCATTCAAATGCAATCGCTGCTCAAGGTTTGATTGCTTTAATTGCTCTTGAAACTCTCTCAAGCTCTCGCCAACAGATTGTACATTTTTGTTTTCACCAACGTTTGCCCTCAATACATTCAATTGATTAATCAAGCTTTGTTTATGCTCTTCCAAGTGATACTTATCTTGAAGAACTCCTGCGTTCTCTTTCCAAAGTTGTTGAAATTTGGATTCAACTGCTCCATATGCTTTATCAATCTCCTGTTCCAAATTTTCAAATGTTTCCTCCGTCTTGTTGGATTTTTCGACCTCTAGCTTCAGTTTTGATACATCTTCACTGAAAATATCTTCTTCTTGGACATATACTGTGTCAATGGGATCCATTATTGCTGAAACTCCTTGATATCGCGTGGATAAGAACTCACAGAACTACGTTCGTGCTTGACTTTGTCCCGAAAGAAGAAAAAAAAAAAAATTCTTGACAGCCATTTAGGGGATTGGGGGGAGGGAGGTGCACTTTTCTAAATTTTGAAGCAATGTGAACATCATTGAGTGGAAAAGCCCATCTATTTTCTACATTTCCTATCTGAGAAAGTTCTCACCGAACGACCAACTACAATATGCTAAACTCCCTACAGAGAGTTCCAAAAGACCCGATGTTAGTATCTTCTCCTCCCCCCCCCCCCTTCGCCCTGTTAGCCAAGCTAAAAGTTTTTAGTGAGAGGTCGTGATTTTGTCGCGTCGATCGGCGCACGGGACTTGGGGAACATGGCGCGATTTTATAAATGCTGGGCAGCTTTCTTTCCGTATGAGAAGTGTTTGCCAACAAAACAGAAAACAAAAGAATTGATCTTATACAACGTCAATGTCCAACACAGCTAAGGGTTGTTTGTTGTCTATCAAAAATGCCAAGTTCAAACCAAACTCATTGAAAAATGCATCTTTTATCTTTGCAAACCCCATCAAAGATATTCATGTAACATGGGGTGCAGGTGAGAGCACAGGTAAAACTAGTGCTAGTACATGGGCCGTTACCGGGCCCTCCAAGTCAACTATGTTGAAGATTATAGCTGGAGAGTTTATATCATTTCCACCACTTTCGAGAAAATATCCTTTTATCAATGAGCCAGCAACTCAGCTTCAATTCCTAAATTTTAATGACAAATCGGGTCTAGATAAGGTTCACTTGTCAGCTAGGTACGAGTCGTACTCTTTCAAAGGTGCGTTGGAAATGAGTGACGATACCAACTCTGTATTCAATTATATTACTGGATTGAACAATTACAATACCCAACACCAAGATTTCAACAAGGAATACATTGAGCATTTGATGAGTCTTTTGAATTTGCGCCACCTTAAAAAGAAATGGATTAATTCATTGAGTAATGGACAAATGAGACGAGCACGAATTGCAAAGTCGTTGGTGAACAAGCCTAGATTGTTGATTATTGATGACCCGTTCTTAGGTCTCGACCCTTCAAATACAGAAAAGGTCAGTCAAGCTTTGAAGGATGTACATGAGACTTTTGGGATTAGCATTGTTTTAGGCTTGCGATTGGAAGATGACATACCGACTTGGCTTGAAAATATATGTTTTGCAAACGAAGAGGGCCCTCAAGTCACCGGGCGTCGTAACGATGCAGATGTTTTAAATGAATTGAAGAAGATTGTCAATAAAACCGACCTTGGGGAGGACAAAAAGCTAACTGATAAGCCGCTAGTTAAAATCGACCCCGCAGACGCATTCAAGGAGGATCCCATACACATCGAGTTCAATAATGCCAAAGTTGCCTATAAGGATTTAACTATATTGAAGGACTTTAATTGGAAGATTCCAAAAGGAAGCAAATGGAGGATCTTGGGCGACAATGGGACTGGTAAAACTACTATCCTTTCGTTGATCACTGCAGATCATCCACAGAGCTGGCGATCGGTTTTGAAAATTGATGACATATTAAGAAAGACTGGAAGTGGGGTCACGTTCTTTGATGTCAACAACAAAATTGGAATTTCGTCCCCAGAGTTGCATGCTTTGGTTCCACAGCATAGTAGTACGATGAAAGACATAATACACAATGGCTTAGTGCAAGACATTGGAAACTCAAATTTTGCCTATAAAGCCAAGCTCGACAAATTGGACTCAGAAACGCGTGCTCGAGCTGATTACATTTTTAGCAAGTTTGAAGACATCCTTGAGGAGCATGGGGATTCACCATTTATTGACTTGAGCATGACAAATCAAAAATTGGCGTTGTTTCTTAGAGCAGTGATTAAAAGCCCTGAAATTTTGATACTTGACGAAGCATTTTCTTGTATGGAGGACGCTCAAGTCATGCATCGGTGCCACGACTTTATAGCTCAGGATCCGTTATTCAAAAATACGACCGTTTTATCCATCGGGCATATTGACCGAGAGTTGAACCAGTATGACTACATGCTCAAATTGACAGGCGACGAAAACCGATCATATGAGGTGTATAGAGTTGATTAGATTAGATTAGATTTAGAAAAGACCCTCTGTGTATGGCTTACATGATATGATTTTTCCCCTATTCGACATTGTTTACATAATCATCGCGTAACGCTGCTTTTTTTTTTTTTTTTTTTTTTTTTTTTTTTTAATTTTTTTTTTTTTTAAAAAAAACCTTTTTTTTCTTACAACAACTAAGAGAAAACACTCCAACAGAGGACAAACAATTTGACGGAGACACTGAGCAAACACTGGATTACACGGAAAAGTTGTCACTCAGGTACATATTTCCGTTCATACGCAACATCAAGGCATCTTTCAACAATTCCTACTCACATTTCGCTCACTACCAAGCACTTTGTTGTTGTGTATTCTCTTTTAACGTCGACGCATTGCATTTTCAATAACCTGCGTACCCGAACTGTCATTTCACTCATTACAACTCCCCCATGTCAACCAGGACATACTCAAAGTCTATACCAAATGCTCCCGAAGATACTCGACCCATTGAGGTCAGGAGTAACCTCGAATATGGAAGGCAACTGTCCAACGAGTACTTGTATGTGTCGAAGCATCCAGTAGGAGAACCCTTGCCGACGCCCATTGATGACGACCCACCATATCCTATTTATTTATTGACTTATTTAAACTACCTCATATTGATTATCATTGGACACATTAGAGACTTTTTCGGAAAGATTTTCAAACCTCAGGAATATAAACATTTAGTTGAAAAAGACGGATATGCCCCCTGGTATGACGGATTTGAGAGCTTTTACGTTAGAAGACTAAAAACAAGAATTGATGATTTATTTGCAAGACCCATTTATGGAGCACCTGGAAGATATATCAAGTGTTTCAATAGAATTAGGGATGGAAAAACTGGTTACTTGTATGACGGAACTTCAACGGAATGTCTCAACTTATCCTCATACAACTATCTTGGGTTTGCACAATCAAGTGGAGCATGTACCGACTTTGCATTAAAGTGTGTTGACGAGTACGGTACCTCGGGATGTTCACCAAGATTATATTGCGGTACCACCGACTTGCACCGCGAGTGTGAGAGAGTCATTGCTGAGTTTGTTGGTAAAGAAGATGCTATTGTTGTTAGTCAAGGATATGGGACAAATGCAACTTTTTTTGCCTCCGTTGCCGACTCTAAAACGTTGATTATCTCCGATGAGTTGAATCACGCATCAATCAGGTTCGGTATTAGGATCTCGGGGGCAATTGTCAAAGTGTACAAACACAACGATATGAAAGATTTAGAACAAGTTATCCGTACCCAAATAGCGCAAGGACAGCCAAAGACTCACAGGCCATGGAAGAAAATCATCATCGCTGTCGAAGGGTTGTACTCCATGGAAGGTAATATGTGCAATTTGCCAGAAATCGTTGAACTTAAAGAGAAATACAAATGCTACTTGTTTGTTGATGAAGCTCATTCAATTGGTGCATTGGGTCCAGAAGGACGAGGAATTTGCGACTACTTTTCCGTGGACCCAGCTAGGGTCGATATTTTGATGGGGACTTTAACCAAATCATTTGGTGCTACCGGTGGTTACATTGCAGGTGATAAAACGTTAATTGACAGAATGAGATTGGATTATCAAACCAATTCATATAGTGAATCTGTACCTCCTCCCGTTTTGGGTCAAATGATTTCCTCGTTGAATGTGATTAGGGGCACGCTTAATCCTGGTGAGGGACAAGAGAGGTTGCAGAGAATTGCATTTAACTCACGTTACTTGCGATTGGGATTGAAAAAGTTGGGTTACATTGTTTATGGGGCCGATGACTCGCCGGTTATTCCAGTTTTGTTGTTTTTGCCTTCCAAAATGCCAGCTGTTTCAAGAATGTTGTATGATTTGGGCATCGCTGTGGTTGTTGTGAGCTACCCAGCAACACCATTGGCCAGTGCAAGGGTAAGATTATGTGTTTCTTCGGCATTAACAAAAGAAGATTTGGACTATGTGCTTGAAAAGTTTGATCAAATTGGTGACTTGCTATATTTGAAATTTAGTAGTGGTATTGCTGGAGGGTCTAAAGTGCCTGGACAGCCCCCACGGTGGTCGATTGAAGACGTTTTGGCTACAAATGTTGAGGACAGCAAAAGACCCAAGTTACTATAATGTGTAGCGCCTGTGTGTAAACTTTTCCTCTTAGAGTAAATTAATAAATTGAAACGTATAGATAAAATTTTGCGAACAGAAAAACTAGCAACAGCAGTAGCAGCAGCAGCAGCATCACCACCACCACTACTACAATCTCTTTCGCCCACATTACGTGCTGCACCAAAAAAGAAATGGTTGTGATCCCTGATGCTCACATACCTCCACTACGATTCAATCTAGTTCAGCCAGACTTGTATCGTGGCGCATATCCGCGACAACCAAACTTTAAGTTTTTGGAAACACTCAATCTCAAGACGATAATTTCGCTAACTCCGGAACCAATAACCATTGACACAGACCCCGTTTTTTACCAATGGGCCAAGGAACAATCCATTCATCTAATACATTTGGAATGTGCTTCTGGAGGTAAGGGAAAGAAAAGATCTGTACCTTTAGACTACGATTTGGCCTTAACTGCCCTCCAAATTATGATCCATTGTCGGTATCAACCCGTTTTTATCCACTGCTTAAATGGTGGACAAATCACAAGTTTACTAGTTGCATGTTTGCGAAAACTACAGTTTTGGTCAGCTATTTCCATCTTCAACGAATTCATCAATTTTACAACCAATATCACCGTTAATGACAGATTGTTTGTTACAAATTTCCACGGGACCGTGAAAGTCTCCCCAAAAGACAAAGCTCCCTGGTTATGGACCGGTGTTAGCAAGCATTTAGTTATGAATCATCCAAAAATAAAAGTAATCGAATTAGATGATGCGGGGGATGATATACAGTCTATACAACACTACACTCTTTGAAAAAATACACAGAATGCATTTTTGTTCATCACTTCACTCAGTGACACATTGGTGGTTACCTTGGAATCGTCAAAATAGCACCAACGTTTCTTCAGACCCTTGTAAACATAAGCAGTGTAGTGTCCAGTGGATAATGTCCCAAAATGGTTGGCAACTCCATATACCTTATACTTGAATGGTGGCTCCTGGTTTCTCACCGGAAAGGAGTCGAGAATGGTAGTCTCCTCTTCAAGAGACATTTTTGTTCCAACAGAATCATTCATTATCGTCCCAGGCTTTGTCCAATATTTCGTCAAATCCAATGTTTCAGTAACGGGGTATGTCACAAATGTTTCCAACTTGCGTATTTGTCCACTGGAGCTCACTTTGAACCGTTTAAAATTCACAATCAAAACTTGAGGCAAACGAGTAATTGCAATTTTCTTTGTCGATCTGGTGAACCTCTTACAATGCGAGCAATGCCACTTGTTTCCTTCGTCGAGTAGCTCAGTTTTTGTAAACTCTTCAATACAATCTTGTAAAGTCACCTTCAGCGTTTGATTCAATTTCTCAGGAATGGGTAGAGACAAGATGGAGAAAGCGTTGTAGGTTGTCGAGGTTGTCCCACATTCCAAACAACACAATTGTGACAAGTACTGACCTTGGAAAGTATCTACGATTATGGAAAAGTTCAACTTCAAGTACCTCTCCCATTCAATTGTTGAGGCTAACCTCACAGGTATGATTTCACGGTTTTTTTCTTGCTCTGGTGTCAACTCCGATATCCGCTTCTTTTCCTGTGGATCTAAAGCTGGCCTCTGGTTTAAATCCTCATGCAAACCGTCTAGCAAAAAAGTGACAAATTCCGTACAGTCTTGTTGCGAACACGAGGCAAACTGTTTACCCGGCGAACATTCTCCGGCAATTTTTTTGAATTTGGATGGGCTAAAGGCTTTTCCATTGTTATTCAACATGTTCATAAACAATTCCACAAAAGCTGTAGTGAGTATTCCTTGTGTACCAAGCTTATTGTTAAAGTTGATATGTTGCTTGTAAGATCCATTCATTGTCAACGAAGGAACAAAAAATGACGTTAGTTGTGGAGTAGCTGCCAAGCATTGAATCATGCAATTCATATAGCATGAATTGCCCAAGTTGACCAATCCAGTGGCAAAATCATCTAGTAAGTTTGAAACTGTGTTCTTCTTGGGGCTAGGTGAAGGAACCACGGGTTGGGAAGTCTTTGAAATGGGTGCGGTTATACCAACTGGATGAGGATTATAGGGCTGTACACCCATAGTCAGCGCTGTCAGCGGCAAAACTCTACTACTACCGTCAAGCTTTGGGTGTGGTGTATTTTCCGTCCTTTTTGGCTCACTTGGACTTGCTCTTCTAGCCGACGACAAGTAATCGTCAAATGATTTTGGATATACCAAGCCATTCATTTCTACCTCGGAGGACATATTTCGAGAATTTTCAATGGCATCACTGCCAAATATGTCAAACCAGTTTTTTATTCCACCAGATAAGTACGTGGGGTACAATTTGAGCTGTGACGAGATCAATGGGTTCTTGATTGTCAATAGATCAATTAATCGCCGAAATGGGTTGGCTAACGGTTGCTCGATATCCTTGATGATTTCAATAAATCTATTGTTTCCCATAGCGCCAAATTTGAAGTTGTATATGACAACATAATCAAACTTCTGCCGGTCTTCGAAAAGTTTGAACTGCAGATGAGACATTGTGTGTCTTAATTTCGCTTCCAAATCCTGACTTGTAGCCTCAGCTGAAAGGTTTTCCACCAATGAGGGCTCTATGTTGAGGGTATTTGGATGTTTGATGTGGTTATGCACGTAGTCTTTTCGAGCTCGATAATCAATGAGCAAAACTTTACTACTCAGTAGAAGCTGTTGAAGCTCCATGGGACTGACCAGTTCTTGATACCTGTGGGGATTGGCAGCTTGCGTTGCCATAGTAGTATTAACCTGTGAGTTACCTTGCTTTAAAGCTTTAAACCGATCTAGTAGATCATCACCGGTGTCTGCGTGCAAGTGACTTTTGATCACACCCATCTGCTTTGCCCTATCTTCGAGCACGCTCTTCATAGTTGAGTAGATCTCATCACTGGCTCCCTTAATCTTTCCTTGATAATGCTCCAAATATCGTTTCAGCAAGGTAAAGAGTATATACGCTAGCTCATAGTCGCAATAACCAATCTTTTCCAACATCTTGCTCTGAGATACAAAACGTTCCACAAGGTATAGCTGGCATGGGATGATTTCTTTTATTCGCGTAAACTGTGCTACTAGCCTGTCAAATATGAGATCTTGAATTGCCTCAAGCTGTTTTATGGAAAGTGTTGCAGGCATTGTGGTGGCATGTGATTAGAAGGAGGATTACTGATAATTGTGCCATGCATTATATTTGATTTTTGCCTTTGAAGTAGTGACGCTACCAAATACGTATCACGGAGCATGAACATGTCCACATTTACGTATGTGTAGACTACATATGTCAGTACTTATTCGAATGCATTTTGAATAGCGATGAGGGAGAATATACCTTTTATCACTCTCTTCCAAGTGTTTTCCTCAATCGGTTCTCTCAAAGAATGGTGGATTGTTATAGGTGAAGAGCGAAGCAAACTGGGAACGAGTTCAGTTTCAGTTGTTTATCGTTCCTGCAGCTTGTGCAAGATCAACTGATCCAATGCACATAGTTTTCATTACAAGCTGATATAAAGGCTCCCTAAATTAAGGTATGAAGTAGAAGGTAAATCTACCAAAAATTTGTGCACAATATTTTCGCACACCTTTTGCAACAATTTTTTGATACACCACAGTCTTTTACAACACACACACACACACACACACCCACGCACTTATACAACGCAATCAAACTCATTTCCCACCATGGCCTCGTTGAGAGGTAAACATGGCTATTTTGAATCTTGTTCTACTTACACTGATAAAGAGAACTACTTTCTAGTTGATTCTAGATATGAAATCATTAGAGTTTTAGGCAAAGGTTCTTATGGAGTAGTTTGTTCTGCAGTGGACACCAAGAGTTTGAGCACTGGGCTCGAGCATAAACTTGCCATCAAGAAGGTGACCAAAATATTCACCAAGGACATTCTATTGGTCAGAGCCATTAGGGAACTAAAGTTTATGAAGTTTTTCAAGGGACATAAGAATGTATGTTTGATTTCATGTTCATCGGCAATTATGAATTTATACTAACCGGTAACAACTAGATTGCATCGTTGCTTGATTCTGATATTGTCTATGTGAAGCCTTACGATGGGCTCTATTGTTTCCAGGAGTTGGCGGATCTCGATTTAGCCAGGGTTTTATATTCAAATGTCCAACTTTCAGAGTTTCATATTCAAAATTTTATGTATCAGATGTTATGTGGTCTCAAGTACATACACTCGGCTGACGTCATACACAGAGACTTGAAACCAGGAAACATTTTAGTGACAACACAGGGAACACTCAAGATTTGCGATTTCGGTTTAGCACGAGGTATCAACCCAAAGTTTTTCAAGAACCGCACTGCCACAATCACCAACTATGTTGCCACCAGATGGTATCGTGCGCCGGAGTTGATTTTATCCACTAAAAACTATTCAAAAGCGGTTGATGTTTGGGCAATGGGCTGCATTTTAGGCGAATTATTTGGAAGAAGACCGCTTTTCCCTGGCAAGAATCTGCATGAACAGATTCACGAGTTGTTCAAGGTTTTGGGGAGCCCACCACCCGAAACGATTAAGAAATACAACTGGAAAATTGAAGGAATTCTGTGGGTAAAGTACAAATCTGCCAACTGGAGATCGATTTACCCGTTCGCCCCCACAGAAGCGATAGATTTAATACACAATTTATTGCAGTGGGATTGCAACAAGAGATTCACTGTGGAGGAAATACTTGAACAGGAGTTTTTCAAGTTTGTGAGAAATGTTACTGAAGAGGCAAGTAGTAGATTGCTATTTGATTTTAGCTTTGAGGAAAAGTCGTGTAGCATACCCCAGTTGAAGGAGGTATTGGAAGCAGAGGTTAGCGAGTTTACTGAAATCTGCAATACCGGATAGTGAAAGACAGGAAACACATTGACATATCTCAAGACAGGATGAGTATTAAACGTTTTTATAACAGCGTATAGGACATTTAAGTTACAAGTACCGTAACAAGAACGTCATTAGTGAATGAGTGGGGAGGTGGGAGGGGGGCAAAAAAAAAAAAAAGAAATATGGCTCTCTCTTTCTCTCTTTTCCCCCCACAATTCGTCTATTGTTTTATGATAGATCCTCACACAAAAGGCAATTTGTAAGGAAAAACCATGTGCACTTATTATTATTTTGTTTAGAAGTTAGCTGGTTTAGTCAATCTAGCATTATGGTTAGCAAAAGAGTCAAACGTTTCATAGGTATAGGGTATGTTGGGAGATACCTGTGATAATAACTCCCCACGCTCCGCCAAAGAAGTATAAATTGGTGTGAATTTGCCGTTGCCTAATTTTTGTTACTCACTTTCAGTTCCTCCTCTATACAACACTTTTTCATTATGACAATTCACCACCACCCAGATTTTATTCCTTACCAATACATTGTCCATATCAAAGGCGAGGACAAACCTTTGGTCACTGATGTTGAATCAGCTGAATCAATTCACATCAAGATCCCTGCTGGTGTGAAATTCTACCAAATTGTTAGATTTAAAGTCAAAAACAGAAAATTAGAGAATTTACATTATAAACAACTCACTAAAAAGGCGGGGTTAACCATAAAGAAGATTGAAGTTGACTTGGGCACTCATGAACCATCTGAAACTGAGATCTATGAAGTCCAAACACCAGAAGACTCAACCCCTGGTGGATGGTTGACCAAGGGTCAATATTCCAGTACTACTACTTATTACGAGGGAGACAAGGAATTGTATACCGATGACTGGATCTTGGAAATTATTTAGATCCTGTGTCGTCTTATGTACTGAGATTGATTCTTAGAGAATAGACGTTTATTCGTAGACAGTGGTACCATTTTGTTGTAGATTGTAAAGAGTAAAGAGCCTCCACATCCCTTTCAGCCGGATCAATCGTTTGGAATGAGCTGCAGTTGACAACATGTGTGCTAGCAGGTCAATGCAGAAAACCATAGTCTTTCCATATTATTGCACTCAGTTCAGGGACCTCAGAAATTGACTTTCTGTCATATCTAAAGTAAAGCGTCTTGGCAGACCCTTGTAAGAGCCTAAATGCGAAAAAAAAAAAGGTTTCGGCTGTGGAACATTGTAAGGTCCCAGCTCGTTTACAACAGCCGCACAAACTAGCACATCTACCAACTACCGAAAGAATGCATTGATATGTTAATACAATTTAGACTGCGGATAATCTGCACGTGGTGTGAATACAAAACGGGAAAGTGGGGTAAGCTTTTCGCTTGCCATTATTGCGAACAGTTCATTTTTTTTTTTTTTTTTTCCCGAGCATCAGTATGGAGATACCCAGAGATCAAAAAATCCCGACGGCAATAGCTACGGTTGCTGAAATGACTGTGGTGCTGCAATCTTTGCGCGCTTTGAGGAAGTTTTCTATTGTGCTCTTAAGTCCGCATTATCCAAGGTGTTGCGCGGACATCCATTCCGGATAGTTATAAATAAGGAGGCAATGTCTCCCCCAATTGTATCTTTCTCTACCTCTTTCAGAGACTGTCTACACGCAAGAAAGTTTTTCCATAATGACCTACCCACATGCGGATTTTATCCCAGTACAAAACATCTTGAAAGTCAAAGGTAAAGAGCCCGTGGTTTTCGAAATCGAGGGCAAAGACGAGGGCCTTGAAGTCAAGATTCCTGGCGGAGTCAAGTACCACAACACCTTCAGATTCAAAGTTAAAAACAGAAAGTTGGAGAACTTGAGGTTTAAGCAAGTCGTCAAGAAAGGTGGACTTACAATCAGGACTACTGAGGTAGATTTGGGTACTCGCGAGCCGTCTGAATCTGAAATTTACGAAGTTGATACACCAGAGGACGAAACACCAGGTGGCTGGTTGACAAGAGGTGTTTATCAAGCATCCACAACATATTATGAAGGAGATCAAGAGTTGTTTACTGCTAGATGGACATTGGAGCTTACCAAATAGTTGAATAGGTAAATGATACAGAAACAAAAAGACTCAAGTGTCGGTAAACACTCTAACCCCCGCCCCCTTGTAAGTACAATCGTCAATTACCAGGACGATAGACTGCTTTTGCAACTTTGAAATGTCTTGCTTGATTTAAGGCGCAACCGCCTCGGGCGAGATAGAGCGTATCTGATGTGTATCTTTTCCTGACGTTTGGTGTTGCCTTCACTTTCTGAAGCATCGTCTTAACTAGTTGACAAAGTGTTGAGGATCTCATGCCTCACCATCATCGTGAGGCAATTGCTACTTGAGGAAAAGATTAAAAGACGTGCCTTTTCTGCTTGGATCAACCCTCAGCTCCACAAACTGGTCCATACTGACAAAGATGCTGTAAACAAGGCCGATTCCACTACCCTAAAAATAAGCTGTGGATTGCTTACTCATCACCTACGACCAGTCACAGGTTGCAAAAGCTGAAAATCTTCGGCTGAATCGAGTCACTCGTTTCAGGGGACGTACGCGCTTTGTTTTTGTGGCTGAAATTTTCCAGTTCAATAGTGGGGCAAGAGAGGGATAAAAGTAACACAATATTGCAAAAAATGTGTAATCCTTTTTTCTCTTTGTTTGGTGGAGAGCAACTCTACAACCAGAGAGGGAGTTGGACAAGCTCCATGAGTTTGAGAGAATCAGGAGCTTGGGGAGATTTTGCCTGCCTCAGCACAGCACAGTCAGTATCTACAACTGTCACCTTGTTTTATCAGAATTGTTCGACCAGAAGCGCAAAGCAAAGTGAAGTAAGATCCCGATTGCCGTAATATAACACAAAGGTAGAGTTGTACCGAGGAACAACCACGTACTTTCCTATAAATACGGGCCAAACGTAGCCAATCTTACACTCACAGATTTGCAATAGGATCCACATACCTAACTCAATCTTTGAAAAAAAAATAAAAAATGACAGTTCCACATCCAGATTTCATTCCATACCAAAACGTTTTGCAAATCAAAGGACAAGAGCCAATCGTATTTGACCTTGAAGGTAGAACTGAAGGGGTAGAAGTTAAAATCCCTGGCGGAGCAAAATACTTCACCACCTTGAGATTCAAGGTCAAGAATAGAAAGTTGGAAAACTTAAAGTACAAACAAGTTGTCAAGAAAGGTGGTATTCCAGTCAAGACCAAGGAAGTCGAATTGGGTACTCGTGAACCTTCCGAGACCGAAATATATGATGTTGACTCTCCAGAAGACGAAGCTCCAGGTGGCTGGTTAACAAGAGGTACTTATGCGGCAACCACAACTTATTACGAAGGTGACAAAGAGTTGTTCTCCACTCAATGGACTTTAGAAATCACTAAATAGGTGCATAGATGAATGAACACTTTTCAAGGCTAAAAAAAATCAAGCATTCTAACCAAGTAGATGTGTACGTGATGGCTTACATTCTCTGGAACAGTTGACAACGTTCTAAGGATGAGCAGTCTATAAATCACACCCAACTTACAATTAAAGTCGCTTCTTAGTGTCGTAAGATTTCTTTCTGTCTCTCTGCAGTTGCGACACATTTTTGAGGCAACAACAAAAGAGGCACTGCTAATAAGACTACCGCCACATTTAGGGGGTTACACTTTCATAGACCTATACTCCCATGAATATCCGTCAAGCCACACATGCTGGCTCCTGGTACAGCAACGATCCAAAAACACTCAGGACACAAATTCAGGCATTGTTACAGAGGGCAGAAAAGTCGGGCATTAGCTCAGTGAACGGGGCAAGGGTATTAATTGGTCCCCATGCTGGATATACGTACTCTGGAGAAAGACTAGGTGAAGCCTTTAATGTGTGGGATACAGAAAATGTCAAGCGGGTTTTCTTGCTCGGGCCTTCACACCATGTGTACTTTAAAGATAAGGCATTGCTTTCCCCATTTCAATTTTATGAAACTCCTTTTGGAGACTTACCTGTTGATAGAAGCACAATAGAGGACTTGCTCAAGAAAAGATTCAAAGTAAAACCTGGCCAACCAGTTTTCAAGTTGATGTCAGAGGAGATCGACGAAGATGAGCATTCGTTTGAAATGCACGCTCCATTCATTTACCACCAAGGACAAAAGTCCAAACACGGAGTACCCAAGATTATACCAATACTTATCAGCGGAATGGATTCCGAACTTCAAAACGAGTTGGTGGATGCTTTGTTACCGTATATTCAGAATAAAGAGAATCACTTTATTATCAGTTCGGATTTTTGCCATTGGGGATCAAGGTTCGGATACACCAAGGTCTTGACGAATAAGAGTGCAACTTTGCAAAGTTTAGAAACTGATCTTCATTCAGCAAGGTTATCTCTGAAGACCATTCCCGTTCACGAGTCGATTGAATTGTTGGATCGCATGGCTCTCCAGATTGCTTCCAAGGGCTCAGTTACGGAATGGAAGGAGTATATTCGAGTCTCTGGCAATACAATCTGCGGGCAAAAGCCAATAGCAGTCATATTACAACTCTTGGAGAGTTATGGTTCAAAGCAGAGTGGTGATGTTTTCAAGTGGCTTGGTTATTCTCAGAGCAACCCAGCCAAATCTCCGAAAGACAGCAGCGTCTCTTATGCTGCAGGTTATGTCGAGCTATGAATGGAATTTACTGTAGATGCAGTGTCTCCGTATATAAATCGGTACAATCAATAGAGATTTTTGATTTCGAACCCTGAAGATTTTGTAAAATCCGATCGAAAGTACGGAAGAAAATTAGAAAGAGGGAAAAAAAAAAAAAAATCGGCTAATTAATCCGATCTCTCCTCAAACAACCACTCAACAACCCCTTCAATATGAGTGATGCCAGGCTCTTTACCAAATCGAAAAGCATTGAGCTACGTGCAGAGATCGAACAAGCGTTCAAAAAATCTAAACCGATAAACAGGATAAAGATTGTGCTTCGCAAAGTATTGGCAAATGTGATCCTAAACAATCACGAAATGGCAACCTTGATGAAAGATGTGATACCATTGATGAAGTTGGATGATTTGGAAATTCGAAAGATCTGCTGTGAATACATAGTAAACTACGCTCATTTATCACCCGATACGCAACAAGCAGTCCCATTCTTGCAGCGTTTCAAAGACGAGCATTCGCCGAACCTACGCGCATTGGCTGTAAAAACTATGTCCTCGATTAATCTCCCAGAGTTTATGGACCTCAGCTTCGCCTCAGTCAAGAGAGCACTAAAAGACAAGGATCCATACGTCAAACGGTCGGCAGTTTATGCAATTGCGAAATTGTATCAGCACGATCCTGCACGTACCGAGGGACAATCATTGGTGGATGAGTTGAATGAATTGCTCTATGAAAATGACCTGATTATCATCTCGGATGCATTAGCCGCTTTGAGCTCCATAACGGAAAGTAGCAAAACTTTGAATTTGTCCATCGACAAGGCCCACTCATTGACTTTGATATCATTATTGCGGACAACTAACGAATGGCAACAGATTTATCTATTGAATGCACTAATGGCATACGTTCCTCAAACCGAGACCGAGGCTTTGGATTTAATAGAAGCAGCCCTTCCGTCCTTACAGCATGAGAATTCTGCAGTAGTGCTCAATGCTGTTAAAATCATAATTTACTATAGCAACTACACAAGAAACCCTGAACTTCACATTCCAGTTCTTCCCAAACGTATTGGAGCGTCTTTAAACTCGTTGCTTTCCAAGCCATCAGAGACTCAATTCCTAGTGTTGAGGAATGTAATCTTACTACTTCTCGGGAAAAAGCACTTGGTGCAATTTGATATCGAAATGTTTTACTGTCGTTTCGATGATCCAATTTATGTCAAGGATACAAAACTTGAAATTATTTATTTGTTGGCGAACGAGGATAATATTGAGCTGGTTTTGGATGAACTCGAAGAATACGCCACGGAGGTGGATGTCGCCATGGCAAGAAAAGCAATTAGAGCATTTGGGAACTTGGCTGTTAAGCTAGAGAATGCAGCTGAACGATGCGTTGAAGTGTTATGTGGTTTAATATCTACAGGTGTCACTTACATTGTTCAAGAAGCAGCCATTGTCGTGAAAAATATAGTAAGGAGATACCCAAGAAGATACGATTATGCTGTTGATGAGCTTGTCAAGTACTGCCAAATCTTTGAAGAACCGGATGCCAAAGCATCAATGATATGGATGGTTGGTCAATTTTGCAAAACAATACCCAACCCAAAGAAACATTTGTTTTTATTGATGACTTCGTTTACCGATGATCCTATTGAAGTTCAACTTGCCGTATTAACTGCAGTCACAAAATACTACCTCACGTTCCCCTTAGACGGCGAAAGCACACTCCTTGAGGTTTTGAAATGGGCAACCGAACTCACAAACAATCCAGATGTAAGAGATCGCGGGTACATTTATTGGCGTTTGCTTTCCTCCGAGTACGCCACTAGCTCCCAAAATGGATTTCAAGAGATTACAAAAGACATTGTTTTCAATCAAGATCCACGCATAACGTCGGAGAATGACAGTATTGATCCTGCAATCTTGGAAGAGTTGGAGCTCAATTTCGGTTCGTTAGCGTCGATATATCTCAAACCAGTTCAAAGTGTTTTTAGATTGGCCAAGCACAAACATCTTCAATGGTCACCAGCTCTTCAAACTGAGCAGCTGCTGTCATCAAGTCGCGAGTTTGCATCGCCGAAGCCGCTGTACATTCAGTCGCGAACATCAAGCACCTCTACAAATTCAAGAAAAGAATCACATTCAGTGAAGCATAATATTCGAAACTCGAGAGATGATATTAGCACGCAAAGTTTCAGTCCCAAACCCCCTGTTAAAGAAAACTTTGGACAAAAACTAAGCAGAAAGAGTTCATCCGTCACTGGCAAAATTGCCAATAAGATTCTGAACTTTTGATTAGTTACTCACTCAGTGGCTATATTAAGTATTCTAACGTTGGGGGAAAACCGTACGCTCGATGTGTCTGCCGTGATAGTCTCGTGCAAGATTGGAGGTATTCCTGGCTCTGGTCCATCGGGCAAGGTGCTTGCCAACTTTTCCAAATCCAATCCCAAGAACGACGCTAGTACGATCAATGATGCTGGACGAGACATTACACGCATTTGCTCTCGGCAGGCATTGCTGACTATGCATAAAGGGCAGCCCCATTGACAGTCACACAGCTTAATCCTATTAAAAGTAGAGTTTATCAACTCATCAATGCACTCAAAGATTTTGTACGAGTACCCAGACCCACTTTTGCCCCCCTTTGTATCGTAAAAAACTAGTCTTGCTGGCCTTTTACGCTCTGATTTCGTAGTTTTAAACTCCTTTGTAGGGGCTTTACACTCGGTCGCCAACTCAAAGTCACCTAGATTAGCGTTTGCAGGAGAATAGTTGACAAATATGGGGAGCATGTTCATAATCCCATGCGCGGCAGCGTGTATGCCACCGGCTGCAGAAAGTTGCTTTGCTTTGATGATATCGATAGCAGCTTTAGGAACATTCAACCAACATCCTTTAGCGTATGCAACTACCGGTGGGTTATTGACTTCCACCACCTCAAGAATCTCCTCTTTTCTATTGACCTTGAAAAATCCAAACACTTTCATTGTGATCTTGATTAGACCAAAGAATGTAGGTATATCCACTGGCTTCTTCATTGGAATAGGCACCAACGGTTTGACCAAGTCAACTTCTTCAGGATCTACATCTGTAAAATCCCTTTGGGAGGTAGTCCAATCCACATTGACTCTTTCAACTTTTGCATATCTCTCCTTGTCATTGAACTCCTTTACTAGATAGGGCTGCCCTTGATGTAAGAAAATACCTCCCTCATAAATAGTGAATGTAGTTCGCAGAAGCTCCACTTCTTCAATCACAATATTTCTATTAGCAGTGATATCAACGACAGCAACATTGTCATCCTCAACAGCTCTAATAGAGACCAATTTGGATGGTTTGGGCATATACTTGGGGCTAGGAATAAATCTGTCGCCAATGTCTTGCACCAAATGCTCTTTCAAGATACTTTCGAACGCCTTAAAGCTACGACCATTGGAGAACCATTTGTAGTCATCGTTTAACACAATTGCATCCTCATAAGCAGCACATTGCAAATGTCTTTCCAAGATCAACAGGCCGTGCTCCATGTCACGCAAACTGTCAACACATAAATCCTCATAAGTGTTTTGAACTAAATCATCAGCGTGCTCGATATAATGCTGGTCAATGGGAGACCTTCCTGGTACGAATATAACCACACTCCCTTTTGCATCCTTCCGCCTACCGGCTCTTCCAAATTGTTGATGCAAGTTCAGTTTCAGTATTGGGAACCCACAAGTAATCACAACATCCAAGTCTGATATATCAATACCCAACTCCAATGCATTTGTAGCGATTATAGCTCGCAATTGTCCCTCAAACATCTTCTTCTCAATGACGCGTCGATCAGATTTGCTGTAACCACCTCGATATGACATTATATCACTTTGTACCAATCCCAGTTTGGAAAATGGTGGCTTTTGCAAAAGGGTCCTCACCTCTCGCATCATCATTTCCGAAACCACTCGTATTGGGCAAAAAACAATAACCTTTAAACCACGCAATTCAGTCAAGAGGGTAAGCAAAAGCCTTGCCAGCTCAAAAATGGGACTCACTCTGGTAATCAATTTGCTATTAGAATCTGCTCGTCCTCTTTCTCCACGGTTATTCATTAAAACTGGGGGGTTCCAAACAAGCATTTTCTTTTCGCACCTTGCACTTCCATCATTGGACACATGCACAACTTTTGACTCCTCTGGAATCGAGCATATTGTTCGGAAATGTCGAACAGGGTTGTTAATGGTTGCTGAGCAAGACACAAAATGGAAACTCTTTTCATCTGGGCAGAATATGTTCTTGATCCTTGAAAGACGTGCCATGACATAGCCAACATTTATACCAAACGTTCCCTTGTAAATGTGCAACTCATCAACAACAACGTATTTGAGACCTTTCATAAAGTTCCTCCAAGACTCAAAGTTGCTGTTGGGTAGTATAGAAGCGTGGATGGTATCTGGATTGGTAAACAATATATCTGCTTCTTTCAGTATTCGAACTCTTTCAGTAAAAGGAGTGTCACCGTCATAAGTGTCTATAACTATTGGTCGCTTAGAATTGCTGGGTAAGTGGTTCAAAAATGTTCGAAATTGCTTGATTTGATCTTGAGCTAAAGCCTTGGTAGGAAATATGAATAACGCAGTAGTTCTTTTGTCCTTTATCCCATTGGTTATATCCCACAAAATGGAATTGAGCACGGGTAATTGGTATATGAGAGACTTTCCAGACGCCGTCAGAGTACTGACTATGACATGGGTTTCATTGTACTCATCCAACAAGATTTCCAAGGATTCTGCTTGGTGGGTATAAAGTCCCTCGTCTATTGATATACCTTTCGCACCTAGTAGAGCTTCTCTCAACTCAGGATGAAGGCTTTCAGACGCATGACTTGATAAGGCTTGGTACTGAGGTGGTTGAGTTTCATGTAATTTATGAGTCGCTACAATCTGGCCAGCATATGTCCTAGAAAGCTTCAACGACTCTATCATTTCATCTGCAGTATATAGCAGCTTATCGTTAGTTGCAACGTTTTCCTTGGCTTGGAGCACTTTCACCATATCCTCTAACTTCGGCTCCTCAGGAATCAACTTCAAAGCTTGCTTCGTCAACCCTTCTTCTGCTTGATTCATAGTGTCAAATTTCCCAATATATTCCAGAATAAACTGCTTGAATCGACTACTTCTTCCTAATATTATTCTGGTCAAGTTGTCTTTATCTAATGGTTTCAAAGCGCTATTAATATTGTTGAGAAAAAAGCCCTCTCTCATAGACTCATTAAACTCCTTTGGCTTGGTGTCCATCTTCATCCTCTTTCTGCCTTTGACCATCTTGCCTATCCCATGTATTTTCACGTCCTGGAAATCAAAAATAAGGATTTGTTTGGATTGTTGAGGGCGACTATCATCAAATTTATCTGCCACTGGTGTTTGACCATAACCCTTACTCCCTAATTTGACTTCCTCCACAAAGGAAACCATGATTTGGTTTTCATCCACGTAATCAAAAAACACCTCATCTTCAGGAAATAAAAACTTAATGGCTGCCAAATCTGTAGTTGTGATTGTTTGGTTCAATTTTTGAAATAGTTGCACCGATGGTATGACACTTCGTGAATGAGACGCTAGAAAAGTAGCATGCTTGTTTATTTCGTGAAATATGGAGAATAGCCGTTTGAAATATGGTGACCAACTAGAGGGGACAGGCGTGTGCTCCATCTTTGGCGCGAGCTAGGAGGAGTAATAGTGTATCGTAGAGACGTGTTGAGACTGTCGTGGGATCAAGAATAGTATGACGTAATGGAATATCTTACGACATTGAGCGAGAGATGCGACATTGAGAATCAAATCTCGATTTTGTGTAAGGAGTGGTTAGGTATAGCAATCTAAGGCTAATTACGTAACCTTCCCCCCCCCCTATTGTTAACTGTGATGATGTGGAGGGGAGCAGCAATCTTACACTGATATATAACCATCACGCCTAATTTCTTCATTCAAACCAACCAGGGGTCTGATCTATCTGGGTTCAACTATAAATACAAACTCAATTGGTCCAGTTGATCTTCCTTACAAATCAAAAACAACCAACACCAAACATTTTTTCCACAATGCAGCACCCATTCTCAAAATTAAAGTTGAAGAGCAGAGCTTCAAATATTCCAGATGCAGATCCTGCAATTACCCCCGGTAAGCCACCAAGCACAAAACAGATCTACCAATCGAGATTAAACTACGGGGTCAACTTTGGATCCAGCTTTGTTCTAGAAAAATGGATTTTTGGTGACTTATTCTCTGAAACTAAAGGCGACTCCGAATTAGACGCCGTGTCGTCTTTGGTGGATAAAAACGGAGTTGATGATACGAGGGCCAAATTTGAGAACCACTGGAACAGCTACGTATCCGATGACGATTGGAAATGGTTGGCCGATCACCAAGTTAACTCGATCAGACTACCAATTGGATATTGGGATGTCGATGGAGGAAGCTTTACTTCGGGATTCAAGTTTGCAAAATACAAAGCTGTTTATGCAAATGCATGGTCAATTATCAAGAAAAAGTATATTGAGCCTGCTTCGAACCACCAAATCTCAGTTTTGATCGATATTCACGGATTGCCCGGAGGAGCCAACGATTCTAGCCACTCGGGTGAAGGTGGTTCCAAAGGTGGATTTTGGAAAGATGAAAAGGCACAATTGGAAATAGCAAAATTAGCTGGTTGGGTTGCCAATGACTTGAAGAATTACGAAAACATTGCCGGCATTCAAATTGTCAATGAGGCAGAATTTGCCGATCCAGCAAAAAAGCAAGCAACTTACTACGCAGCTGCAATTTCAGAAGTGAGAAAGAGTGACAAGCTGATCCCTGTTGTAATTTCTGATGGGTGGTGGCCGGAGCAATGGGTTAAATGGGTCCAACAAGAACAAGGAGATGATGGATACATCGGTGTGGTTGTGGATGACCATGTTTACCGTTGTTTTTCCGACTCAGATAAGAAAAAGTCTGCTGAACAAATTATTGACGACTTGAATGGTGACGTATTGACTAATTTGACTGATGATGGTAAAGGTGTCGACTTTATTGTTGGTGAATGGTCCTGTGTATTAGATCAGCAAACATGGGGTCACACAAAAGGTAACAGAGATGATTTGGTTGTGAAATATGGTCAACATGAGCTCCAAGCCATCGAAAAAAGAGCCAGTGGATCATACTTTTGGACATTCAAGTTCCAATCTGGAAACGGTGGCGAATGGGATTTCAAAACAATGACAGACAAAGGTGCACTTAAACCATTTCCCAAACCTTCCAATCCACCATCTGACGACCAATTTAATCAAGCTGCAGACAACGCTACCAACAACCACGCTAATTATTGGAAAGATCAAGACCCAAAGGGAAAATACGAACCTGATTTGTTCAAAGACGGTTTCAGCACAGCTTGGAAAGATGCCGATTCGTTTGCAAAATTCAACGGCTCGAGAATCGGAAGAAAGGAGGCTTTAAAGAGATCAAGATTACTCGAAGCACTTTCCAATAAGAAAGGCTCTCAAAAGAATATCTGGGAGTGGGAGCAGGGATACGATGAAGGGTTGAAGGAGTTTTATAATGCAACAATCCATTAACCACGGGGACTGTCGTTAAGTAGAATAACATGAGTAGATATTAAATACAGGTTCATTACACAATATCATTCAGAAACATGGTTCCGCATCTCATCGTAAGCAGACTGAAAAAAAAAAAAAAAAAAAAAAAAAATTAAAAAATAAAAAAACCAC